GGGATCGAACCCCGGACCTTCCGCTCTCCGGGCAGACGCTCTACCACTAGACCATGGGGACAGTCAATGAATATCATAACTTGGGTGCATGATGAATAGAATATGTTGATGCATAAAAAACATGGTGATACAATATCCTACAAGACAATGATACATGGACATATTGATGATATTAGAGAGTTGTATCATGAGCCATGATACAAACATATAACTGGGCCATCTTTCCCCCTATACTACAAATGTACGTTATCATCATGATCAAAGTAAGTGACAGCAACGCCCATAAACAATATAAATGAAATACAGTACAGGTCATATTAAGGAGTATATATAATAACTACTCATAACCTTCTGATTGAGAGGGTGGGACACTGTAACCATGGTAACAATAACAACAACAGATTACATTTCTAAATAGCTAGGGGCTCTATAATTAGTCTTTGATTGATTTATTGGCACATTTTGTTAACATGATCATGATGATGACGATGCTCCTCACAGGGTTTTATTAAGATCTAGCTGTCCTGGCTTTGTCAAGCAAAAGATATAGAACACTGTCTTTGAAAGGCATTTAGAAGGGAATTTATGGATGTCAACTTCTTTATTATGAGGATCACAATGTTTCGGAGTATATGCTTACTCCTTCATCAGGTGAATGAATGCTTTGAGCATATATATGTACATGTAAGAACAACAAAAGTAATAAGATAACAAACGGTGGAAACTTAACAAGGGAAGCCAACAGATATTTGGCGCTGATAGGTGATTAGCAATAGACAATGGAAGCCAGCACTTTACAGTAATTAGCGCTGATAGTTATGGACAACTGGAAGTCAGGGGTTTCTATATGATCAGAAAGTTTTCAAAAAGCCCAGCTGACCTACATGGAAAAAACAATGCAAAAAGTAAAACCAAGTGTTCAAAATTAAGAGGGATCTCAGGGGTTTGCTGCCAAAGTGTTTGAATCTAGACATGCTAGAGGCAGGATGAGAACTAAACACAAAAACTTTAATAACCCGGGTAAAGATAAAATGACCTTGTAAAGTGGAAACGATGGGGATATTTGGAAATTTGTACTAGCCTGCAGGAATTTGTACTTGCCCCGGGCTTGCGGGCTAGCGTTTATTTCTAACCCTGTAAGACACCCCGAATCTTCAAATTTAACATTTAAAGCGTTAAAACAAGGACCCATTAACATCAATACTTGATTTCTTACACTGCAAACTGGTGCAATAAGCGTGAAAAATTGGTGCAACTTTGTTCCTTAGTAATGGTCATGTTCTATCCATGTATTCATCCCAGCTGGAAAGGAGGAACGAAGGACGCCAGACATCAGTGGCCATTATGATAGATCATTACCAGTATCTAATGGGAGTTGTGCTCCCACCATGGTAATCAGAGGCCTATCTGTATCACTAACATAGGACGTAGGACTTAACTGGGCCCCTATCTAATCCATTATGTCTGTGTCTTCACATCAATGTGGAACCCACATGTCTGTGAGACTCTAGCATGTATTAGAGCATGATAATATTGGAAGAACAATTTTGGTTATTAATACACTGCAAGGTGATCCCATGTTTGGTCTGGATACACACGCATGTGGAAGCTATTATTGTTTCAGGTCTACAATTGCATCTGCATGATTGCATAACTCCCATACCAATTACTTTATGTATGCTCAGCATTGTTGGTCTAATCACACTTAGTCTAAAAATACCTGTTCAATTTGCTCTTCTGCCATTTCCAGCACGGTTCCCAAGATTCAAATATTTTTTGTATGATGTCACTCTCGTTAATGCCTGATGTCAGAGTCTTCATTGTCTATGCCCAAAAATATCAGTTTTCTCGGGGATAGACAAGGCCACTGCTTGAAATTCCAGAGGGACAAGTTGTTTTTGCCTTTTACTTATTTTACATAAACATGATAAACAACTACCGTATTCGATGTAATAAGCACCCCTCTCTAATAAGCGCCCACGGGGATATTTGCTAATATATTGGCTAGTGAACAATCCCAATTTTTTACCAAAATAATATTCTAATAAGAGACCCCTATTTCTAATTTTGAGAGCGCCCTGGGCGCTTATAATGTCGAATACGGTAATCCAAAAGATGCAAAATGAGATGCGGACTAGTGACTATTTGACCAGAGATGTCTACCTAAGCAGTATTCGGGGATGAGAATGGATATTTGTAACTTCTTTTCAATGGAGCATGGTCCATAATTTGGGGGTGTTTAACAAATTTGTGGTCATTAAAATTTGTGGAAATTCACGAATCCGTAGAAGATTCTCACCCGTGAATATTGAGTATACCCTTACCAAAGAGCTTACACGTAAACATGGTTATTAACTCTGAGGACCATTGTGTAACTGTTGTGCTGTAAACGCACTACTACAAACAATACATGTACGTTTCATTAGTGTTCAAGCTTAAGCATGAAAGTCATGGTCGTCATGGCAATAACCCTAATGTTAAAAGCTGAAAACCTTGATTTATATATAGCAGCAAATCTCAAGGATCTCACCTAATTTCGAAAACTGATGACAGCTCTCAAAATAAACCAGATTAAGGACAACGCTCCGCCTTCCGGCACACATGCAGTTGGTATGGATCAATACTTTGTCCTGATCAACTTTCCTGACTATTGTTGAGAAGACATCCATGTCAGCACTGGGTCACTTGAAACCTTAAAGTGGGTTAACTCAAAATAAAACTCACAAATAGTTTTATGACATTTTGTTACCCAAACACCACCTACGGCACCAAACCTTATTCAGTTTCAGCTCTTTCCAATACGTTCATAGGAGGTCCTGTTTCTCAAATTGCAGTTCTAGTTCCTTTAAGTTCTACCATTGTGCACACAATACAGGGGTGTATCTAGACCTGTCAGGGGCTGATATTCGGACCCAAGTCTGCAGCTATTTTCAAGAAAAATTCAGAATTGGAATTATATATTTTCCAATGCATTTCCCAATAGTAACTGACGTTCATTAGGGGTGTCAACTATTTCACTGATAACACTTTTAACAGGACCAATAAAGAGGCTTTGAGGCATAGTTTAACATTATTGCATTACATGCAATGTCAAAGTACCTCTCAACTTAGGAAAACTTTAAAAGAAATCCCAATTTGGAACACAATAAAGATTTTCCCAATTTGCCAAGGGCACTAAGCTTGGAATCTCTGACAAATCCATGCAGTATATTCAGCGTTTAAAAAACAATAGGGTCCTGTGGTCCTTGTGGTTTGCTCCTTGTGTATTTGAGCCTAAGAAATCATCAATCTCAAATACAAAATATTAGGATTATGACATGAATTTTGAAACCCTGTTACTGATCATGACCGAATTTTCATCACTAGGGGTAAGACATAATTGTTCATATCTAACTTGTCTGCAGCTTATTTCGAACAAGCGGTTTAAGTAAAATAACAAGATCCTTTCAGAAAGCTACTTGTTCCACTTGACATTCACTACTCTCAGACAGACAGACATGTGGCTTTGACTTTCCCTGATCATGATTTGAACGTTCAAAATCCTATTTCTAACTTAAGTCACAATGGAAAACATAAGTCACAATGGAATGTCTTATTGGCTAAATTTTAAAGATTAGTGTGTTAAAGAAAATTAATATATGTATCAAATTAATGAATGGATGAATCATTTGAAATGAACATTAAATATCATGCTGAGAAGACAAATGATAATCATGATAATGGACACCATGAACATTTACAATCAATTATCAGTTACAATCAGCATAGGAATATCATGTTTTTAAATATACATATATACATGGTAAATAGGGGGCGGTCGGGTAGCCTAGTGGTTAAAGCGTTCGCTCGTCACGCCAAAGACCCGGGTTCGATTTCCGACATGGGTACAATGTGTGAAGCCCATCTCTGGTGTCCCACGCCGTGATATTGCTGGAATATTGCTAAAAGCGGCGTAAAACCATACTCACTCACTCACTCACTCATGGTAAATAATCAATAACAGTCACTGATCATAATCAGTTTCTATTTAAGGGGGGTCCTGGGGTCATTGGAAGTTTGATAATGACAAGAACCCCTCGAACTTCAAACACTGATAATCATGATAACCATGCACAGTGTGTTGAAATCGAAAAATGTTCCAGATGCTGAGATGGCCATTTACAGAGTTCTGATTAAAATAATCAAGGTATGCCGTTCTGAAAAATAAACTTATCTTCATCAAAATCCAGCGATAGAAATTGGCACTGGTACTATAATCCTTACCAAACTGCCCTAAAGTTAAGGTATCAGACGAGCTGCAATTTCCCATTTTTAAGAGTTTTTCTACATGTTAGGGCTATGGTAAGGACTATAGTGGACTATAAATGCACCAGTGAATCATCCCACTACTACTGGCAATGTATTTACACATCCTTGATAAGTTTACTGGTTTGATTAATGATAAATATTTCTACTGATGTTTTAATTATACTTTTTCGAACATGACTAGAGACTACAAATAATGAGAATGTACATAATCAAGTTCTATTAAGACTGAGAACCTACATTCACAAACACATCTATAAATGACAAATATTGCGATGTTCGAACTATTAAACAATTTCTACCTTTCAGAAAATAATCAATGTTATCTTTGAAGCTTGTTACTGTAGCCTCAGCAAGTCTAGCCTCAAACTGTATCTCCTGTTGCTGTCAAAACAAGCATTGGCATCTGGACAAATAAAAATCTCAACACAAGAATCAAGACGACTTCGTTTTCCCTTTCAATTTTTTCTAACCTTTAACATTAATCTTGCCTCCTTGTACAACCATCAAGAATGTAAGTGCAACAATCGAAGCCGAATGGTTGATGCCGGTGCTAGCCGAAGTGCAGGCACCCTTTCCGAAACATCAGTGCTCGCCGAGCTCATTAATCTTGTCGTCTCAGTTTATTCGTTGAACGCAACATTTTTCTCCCACACAAACGTTAATCATATAGAAGATAACAAATGCTGCCTTACCTCAGAAAAGGAAAAAAACACCGCGAAACCGCCGAGAGGAGATGTATGCGTGAATAGCTAATGTGACATCAACAACAATCGTCCAGTATCCGCCATGTTACCAAAACATTAGTCACGTGGGATCGGTTCTGATAAGAGTTGCCTCCCTTCTCTATTTCTCTAAAAGGTGATTTACTCCAGATAGATGAAGATGGGAAGAATGTTTAACTTTGGTCTAGAACAATAAGAATACGCCAGTTGAATTTTCTAATGGAGAGAGAACAGTATGGATCTATTCCATGTCCGAACGTCCTTGGTACTCTTGAATTAAAATCACATTTATCTGTAAATGAGATGTATAATAACTTTTGCTTAATTTGTATTTGTTTGTTTGTTTCATGTGAAAAAAATGCATGTGAAAAAAATGCATGTTTGTTAACGCCGCACTCAGCAATATTCCAGCTATATGTAAATAATCGAGTCTGGACCAGACCATCCAGTGATTGACATCATGAGTATCGACCCACGCAATTGGGACCGATAATATGCATCAACCAAGTCAGCGAGCCTCTTACGACAAGCATAGTTTGCCTTTACGGCAAGCATGGCTTGCTGAAGACCTATTTTACCCCGGATCTTCACGGGTCGCTTTCGGGATGCTGTCATACGAATGGTATTTGGTAACTTCTTTCAACTTTCATCTTAAACGATATTCAAACTTGATATCGCACAAGAAATGAAACCAGAAGGTGAGGCAGTAGAATTCAGTTATTATAATCGAATCATTGAGGTAGCAACAAAACCGCATTGGTATTAGATTATGTACACAGCGCGTAACGGATTATTCTGGTGATCATTAGCACTCTTTTATGCATAGTAACTTCATTCACATTTGTCTAAAAGTATGAAATTTGGCAAAGTGTAATTTACAGTGAGTGAGTACGGTTTTACGCCGCTTTTAGCAATATTCCAGCAATATCACGGCGGAGGACACCAGATATGGGCTCCACACATTGAACCCATGAATGAACCCATGAACCCATGAATGAACTGCGCAGTGGACACATAAGAAAATCAGTATAGAGCGTTGTAATGCGATCTTTACTTGTATGGTTCAATTAGCTGCACCAGGGCCCCGTTCCACAAAGCGTTCTTAGCGCTAAGATGATGGTAGCTCCCATGGTTTAACATAGGCTTACGGTAGTCGTAACGCTAAGATCGCTTTGTGGAACGGGCCCCTGCAGTTCTCTAAAAAGACGGTTTCTTCTAATGCTAAAGAAATTCAAGGGTACTTTTGATCCACAAATTAACACACTTTCCAATTCCACTGATAGAGTTCAAATTTGAGAAACATGCATGTGCAATAACTGTATTCAGAGACCATATACCGATATATGGTCTCTGCTGTATTCGAATCATAATATGACACAGGGCGGATGTATGGCAAGCCGTTTTCACATTTATTACGGAATTACAGCTATCTTCAATTCTTTTTAAGATATCCTGAATTGAATTGAAGATATCGTGAATGGAATTGAAGATATCTTAAATACAGATAATTGTAGATATCTGCACTAAAATTTAAGACATCACGAAATGAATTAAGGATATGGTGTAATGTATTACTGATATCTTGAAAAAAGTTATTAATGATATCTTTTAATTGGATTTTTGCTATCAGTAACGGTCAGAATTAATGATATCTTGGAATGAATTAAAGATATATAAAACGAATTAATGATATCTGTAATGCATTTGTAGATATGCATAACTTATTTCAAGATATCTTGAATTGAATTTAAGATATCTTGAATATATTTCTAATATATTTATGTACAGTAGGATGGTAAATGTTTAATATCTTAAATACATTTTGAGATATCACAAACTAATTTGTTGATATCACCGTAACATTTTAAGATATCAGTAATTGTATTATGGATATCAGAAATGAACTTAAGATATCTTTAATTATATTTTGATATCTTAAAAACATTATTGATATCTTTAAATAAAATACCGATATCTTTAAAACAATTGAAGATATCTGTAATTCCGTAATAAATGTGAAAACGGCTTGCCATACGGATGACTTACATAGTGATGCTTTTTTGTCTGCACGGTCTGTCTGACTATATATGTTCTATACACACAAACATTTCGCATAGTGAGATAAGGATTTCATGAGTTTCAGAATCGCATGTTCCTACAGTTGAGGATTTTACACAGCTTCGATCTTTTGTTGACCTCGCACTTACAACACGTGCTTATTGTGTGCAGGAGTGTAAACAAACCTGTTCCATTGTTACAGTCAGAGCTGTTCTGTTGTCTTTATTTCCACGATGTGTTCATGATTACAGAGAGGCTTATCCTACAGTCTGGGGTCTATTTCCAGCAAACGTCTAGACACGGCAATACGTGCCTTGTGCGAAACGGAGACGTTGTAATTAAGCCAACCTGTTATTGTTATATTGAACGGTATCCTCTCTCATTGGTTCCAGTGTACTCTGTCTACAATGCCACGAATCATTGACATTCGTGAAGTGACAGTAATGATCATGTTTATTCACACTTCTTCCATCTTCCCGAGGCAAGGGAGTTATCTGACTATAAAAGTCCTGTTCTACTAGTTAACTCCCTCGCCTCGGGAAGATGCTCTTCTTCCAGACAGTTGTTATGTGAAATCGCACATTTTACCCCTGGTGCTGTTTGTAAACTGTCATGTTGACATTGATGGTAATTATTATGTATATATCACTGTTTTGTCAAATGATTATTTTGTCGAATTACGTTTTTTTGTGTGTCGATATTGACGGTGATACGACTACACTCGTACACTCGTTAATCCCACCCCTCACTTGATAATGGACAGGTTCAAGCACCATAATACCTTAATACAATTAAAACTTAAAATAACTCCGAATAATTTCAAATATCCTGCTTAGTAGTAAATAAAGTTCGCCAAATGTCTGGTTAGTTTCTAGCGCAATACTACAGGGTAACTTGCTCTTAGTGCAGTTCGTCAACTGTCTAGCTAGATTCTAATGCAGTTTACCAACGTTGTAACTAGTTTTTAGTGCGGTTAACCAACTATCTACCTCGTTTCTAGTGCAGTTAAACTATAGTGTAACGATGGTTTCTTGTGCGGTTCGCAAACTATCTAGCTAGCTTCTAGTGCAGTTTTATTTTGTTTTGAGATCAGATCATTACAATACTATAATGGTATCAAATGCGTATTTACATGTAGGCATATTTGGCGTACCTTTGATCTATACGAAGGTCTATATGGTATATTAACATTAGTATTCATCAACTTCCCTATAAAATACTTTAAGAAGCTAAAATAACCCCGAGAAATCGAGTTGTTTGATAGGCACTTCTCAGAAGTTGACGGATGAGTGAGTAAGTGAGTGAGTTGGGTTTAACGCCGCTTTTAACATTATTCCAGTTATATCGCGGCGTGTCAGCTTAATGTGGGAGGAAAGCCCGAAGTGATGCAGGTCTCAGACGTTTACCACTTCGGTGAAAGCCACGTGCACGGGTATGGTGTTGACAAACCTAGAAACATAATCAGGGCGAACCGGGATTCGAACCCACAATCATAGGTTTCTGGCGTGCCCAAGGGACGCAACTCTGCACAGCGAATTGCGGGGCCTTAGACGACTGGGCCACCCGTGCCCCATTGACGGATGACAAAGAACACACAAAAAATGGATAACAACTTCTATATTTTAATATACTGTGGTAGCGACGTTTCGGTATACGTCCTTATACCGGTGTCAAGCAAGAGTGAGAAATAGAAATATTAATAGTATTATCATAGTTCCAAAATACGCCATGTTTGATATTTTATAATAATTTTGATTTTATAAAATATGACTAAACAACATATTTTGTGGATATAACCTGGCCTTCATTCCGAAGTTTTAGTTGACAAGCGTCATGTGTTAAGCATTAGCTACATGCATGTTCCATCCCAAGTCCGTGATCAGCCGGTGTTGATCTGCACCTGCTTTCATTCCCATGTTTTACCTGATAAGCGTAATATACTTCCCGTTACATGTCCCGAGAGAGGAGTAAACATAACTCAATGACAACACGCTCTTCAAGAAAACTGTTATGTAATTTTAGTCATTTCTGCATACTCATATCTTCAAAAACTGCGGAGTAATCTCTAAATTCAGATAGTCATGACGGTAGATTAGCAACAGTGTGTAGGTATTGTTTAAATAAGTGATGACTGAACATACGACCTCTAAGAGCGTCGTGGCATAAATAGCGGCCTTTATTCGGGGTACCTCACTTATGAGTTACACCGAATAAAGACTGGCCACTAATAGATGCTTCTCTTGGTTAAGGTGAGACATATTCACTTGACATATTGTGTGTTCTTATATTATATTCCTATTTTCCGGTTTTCTATTGCATTTTATGTTGTCAGTTGCTTTGAATATAATCAACATTTTGAATTAGGCATTATATATTGATTAAGTACACCAGTGAATTAATTATTATAGTTAGGTTAGACCATGTAGCACTAGAAATAATCTAACAATATAGTGTATATTAAAACTGTATTAAATATAATATAATAACGTTTAGACACGTTAAAGTTACACATAATCGGGCTTTTGGTAGCAATGTAATACTTGTGCACCTGTTGTCAATTGTATGTTATATTGCATGTTTGAAATCAAGGTGTATGTAAATGAATGTATCTTCAAAACATTACTCTGTGTGTGTTCAATTCAAATGATTCAAACTACCCTTGATGTAATTAATGTTTAAATAATGTACTTATTAAGCGAGGTAACTATACTGTACACGCAAATACGTTAATACGTGAGCGCACATAACACTTGTTGTTATATTCATTAGCTCATTTATTGGTATATTTTCAGTGTTATTAAGCTCTATTTATCCATACATTATACCCATTTAATGACATGCCGTTCGGCATATGTTTTTGGGTAATAACGGTACTTTAGATATAAAAAATGTGGTCATATTATTCAACCGACTGGTTGAAATTATATATTAATATTTGTGTATTCTTATTATTCCGTTTAAGTTGTCTTCTTCTAAGTTGTATTAAAGTAAAGCCTATCATTACGTTCTTCATAAATATCAAAGATCATGTAAGATCATTTTAGTAATTGGTAGCACACGTAGTACGTGTCTCACTGAAGAATTATCTTATTTGTTTACAATACATTGTCCTCAACTGCGCTATATCACTTGTATTTTCAACCAAGCGTCTTCGCTTCATTGTTTAAAAATGAAATTATGTCTGGTATGATACATTCTCAGTAAGATTTATGCTGTAACTGTTAATTCATAATTCTCGGAATATTTGAGTTGTTATAGATTGTAATTTTGCTTATTTTTTATTATGATATGTAAAGGGCTGATGAGATACACTGAATAAAGACTGGCCACTAATAGAGGCTTCTCGTGGTTGTTTTTAGGTGTAGGGTCCCAAGCTAATTCCCCGAAAACAAATTCTAGTTATTTTAACCAGCCTTGACCAAACATAAACCTTAAACGTTATTATACAGGTCAAAGGTATGGTATAGTTATGCAACTATACTCTGTATATATGTAGATGTTAGCCAGCATTTGGTGGGGCTTGGATCCCCTGCTCCTACGACCTTGATTCTATCCATGCAAATACGTTGAGTAAAATACCAACAAGACAAGACAAGACTAAATTAGGCCTGACGCACGATCCCTTTAATTTTGACGAAATATCGATGTGTCCATAAAATATTGTCCGCTTTTTAAACTATGATCAGAGGGTGAATACAGTATCACGTGTGCCTTTATTTTATTCCAACGTTTAACGATTTGCAAAGTAATTTAAATGAAACAAAGATTTTACTGAAGCTTAGATTACAGTACGGATATCTCATTCCATTAAAATAAGTCCTTCTTATTACTGTTGAAAATGTTTCATATATTAGTTTAAAAAGGCTTATAAATGGAGAAAGGTTTGATATATTGCATATGACTATTTTACTTTTCAACAGTAGTCATCAGCTGATGCCCTGCTTAGTACATACTGAAATATGTAACCTATAATCAACTATTTCAGGTAGGCAGTGACGTGGTAGCTGGGATATTGTTGAACGCGACGTGGAACTTTACCGTCTCTGTCGTGTCTGAGGGTTCTCTCATTCGATTCGAACTGTTCGTGTCATCTTGAGAAGGATGTTGTAGGATAGTCATATGTGTTGGTCACTGCAATTTTTGATATAACCCCAAAAGAGCCTCTTTCACTTTACAGGGGCAGATAACTCCAAATATCAATGATGGCGGCCTGGTACGAGCAGACGGTTGACGGTGTGCTGTTGGATATTACGGGTGTCCTGTATAACAGCGGGCACGATGGGGGTCATGCAATTCCGGGATCCGTAGACGCCGTCAATAGGTAAGGTTAGGCATGTCACCTGTATTTTCTATGCACGGGAAAGTTCAGTGCAATGGTATGGGTTTTAGTGGGGAAGATAAATTGCAAAATAAAGATCAAGGTGAATTGTTCAAATGATTATATAAGCATGAAACTTTAGATCAATATTCCTTTTGGTAAATATTTTGAGAAAAATGTTAGCCACTTGAAAATCCAAGATGACTGCCACATTCAAAGATGGCCACCGTTTGCACCAAGTGCATCTCTTACTGCAAGAAACTCACCATAAATCCAGGTCCACTCTTGAAAATGTCTCACAAGCTCAGCTAATAAAAGTCGCAAACTAACATCTACCACCAGACACTAAAACCTTTGTCAAGTAGATTCAAAGATTTTGGCACAGACTGGTATGTGGTACCTATCCCGAACCTACTGCTTAGATTTTAATCGAAAAGGTGAAAATAATCCCCATCTTCCCAGAACAAGGGCGTTTACTGTCTATAAAAGTCCAGTTTCCATTATCCATATTCATCTGCATGCTATTTAGTGACTGACATTTTGAAATTGACTCAAAATAGTAGTTCAAAGAACATTAAAAAGTAAAAATACATAAAACTTAAATCTGTATTGTCCATGAAGAAGACTGGGCATAATTGTTGAAAATGAAGGTCTTGCAACATATCTGTTTTAAATAAGTAATATTGCACCATGTCCATGTGCAATTATACACACACTGTTGTCTCATTTTGAAAATGCAACATTGTCATTCTGTAGGTTTTATTCATGGGAAATATGTTGATCAAATACGTAAAAAGTAGTTTTTTAGAATCGCAATTTAGAGATGTTGCATGGACATGACATATCATGTCCATTACTGCAATGCATCGTGTCTGCTACTATTTCTTTTAAAAATTCATTTTATGTCACAATAAATTTAGCATTTTTGTTATTTTTGGAAAAAACAAAATTTGTTAATGTAAGCATATAGATCTGCAATTGAATAAAGTTCATTGATGAAGTATTGCACTGCGAAAAAGTAAATCCATAATGTTGTTGATAGGCCAGTGACGGTAATACGCAGTTTTCACGTTGAAACCTCTACTAATTTCAACTTCTGATGGGTAAGAATATGAAATGGGATATTTATTGTAGAAAGTTGTGTTTCTGTCAGAAATAATTACTTACTTGTTATTTGTAGGAATTGACGAGCAATTGTGTTGACCTTTCATCATGACCGTTATTACACGACATGGACAGAAATAATGCTCACAAAAGCCTTCTATTTGGGTGAACAGTCTCTTTATTACAAAACTGACAATATTGGATGGTAATATTTTCCAAATATTTAAAAATTTAATATGATATTTTTTGAAAAATGTCCACCGTTGTCATGATTTGTGTCGCCTTAGCATATAATAACCCATATAATCAATCATCATTTAGGTCCATGGCTTACTCTATACCAGGGTTGTGCGACGAGGGGATCTCACTGGATTTAATTTAATGCTGCTTATCATGTTTATTATTTACTCTGATTGGGTTGTGGATATAAACTCAAATATTGAGCAGTTGTGGTCTCATGTTTCAAGTATTTAATCTCTCAAGAGCCACATCATCTCTTGACCTAGGCCATGTTTGATTATGCTAGATCATGTTTCCATTATGTTAATATGGGTTGTTCATTCAGGGATTTATCAAGAACCGCTCAGAGGCTGCTATTTGGCCCCAAGTTGGAAGCAATTTTCAGTAATATTGGAATTAAAAAATTGCGCAGTTATGTTATTATGGCAATAACTAATGTAATGGCTCTGCAGAGGTGACTTGCATTTCACCGACAACAGGTAACAGGACAACAAACAAGAAGAGACTAATGTTCAGTTTTCCATTTTTGCATTGAATCAAATATTAAAACACGCCTGAATCTGAATAAAAAGGACTTTTAAGAAATTCCCAATTTTGAACAAAATAATGTTTTTCTTCCCAAGCAGTTTGGAAATATGGAATCCAAGATAAATCTCTGACATTTTTCAACATCATTGATAGTACTGTTAGTGTCAGGAAACAATATTGTTTCAGAGCTCCAGATAAGTTTTTGAGCAGTTGGGTTTTTACTCTAGGGTTTCTATTCTAATTGGGTTATTACATTTTTCATTGAGTAACCCAATATTTTTTCACTCATCTATTCATCACTCTATTGGGTTTTTCCCAAAATTAGTGAACTTTTTAAGATTAAAAAAACAACCTGAAATAATGTTTTAGATGTATATAACTGTTCTAAATATGTCAGATATATAGGCTTGACTCGGAAAGTAAATTAGCGCGTAATTGGGTTTCGGAAATTAGCTCCTTTGTACGCATGCTGGAAAAGCTTCATCATGTTCATTGGGTATTTACACGTCCTGTTTTTACACATTTGATTTTTTCACTTAATGCATGCATTTCTGTACGCAAATAAATTGAAAATAATTGGGTTTTGAATATTTTTGTGGAGTATTTTACGCAAATATGCTGCTTATCTGTAGCTCTGTTGTTTTGAGTTGTGGTCTGAGAAATCCAAACGTAATACAAATTTTAACCAAGTATAGATTAGACAATGCTCTCATCATCAGATACTCTGTGCACAAACTTCTCTGTTTGATAATCAGCGATTATCATAAAAAGGGTCACAAATTTAAATAAAAAAATATTTTTCCCCCCAAATTGCTTGTAATAGGGGCACTTAGTTTTGAATCCTAGATACATCCTTGACCGTTTCAGTGTTCTATGTTGTACTCTGCAGGCTGCGTGGGGCAGGACTACCTGTCAGGTTCTGTACTAATGAAACCACCAGCACAAAGGCAGCTCTTGTGAAGAAGCTCCAGGGTCATGGGTTCACCATGACTGAGACTGACGTGTTTCCTCCAGCTCCAGCTGTCTGCAGCCTGTTGAAACAGCGCCACCTACGTCCTTATCTCCTCGTTCATCCAAGTGAGTCTTCATGCATTAGTCACCAATAGATTGTTTAGTTGTTTGTTACTAAATGTGCACTAATAGGCCAGCTATCTGACAGCGGTCTGTAAATAATCCAGGGGCGGTCGGGTAGCCTAGTGGTTAAAGCGTTTGCTCGTCACGCCGAAGACCCGGGTTCGATTCCCAACAGTGGTACAATGTGTGAAGCCCATTTCTGGTGTTCCCCGCCGTGATATTGCTGGAATATTGCTAAAAGCGGCATAAAACCATACTCACTCACTCACTCACTAAATAATCCAGTCTGAACAAGAAAAGTCTGTGATTGATGTTTTGAGCATTGATCCACACAATTGGGATACGATGACATACATCAGCCAAGTCAGCCCCCCGATTCCTTATTCGCATGTTAAAACAAGCATGGGCTGCTGATCACCAATTCTAACCTTGATCTTCACGGGGAATAATTTTGTTCCGTTTTGAGATGTATTTCTGTGGAATATACCATAGGGAAGCTGAGATAATTGTATGTCACTATGCCCTGACTGTAAACCCTTCCCACTATCACCCAGTGGTTTGTGTAGTCCAGCCTTGATCATGTTGATCATTTTCAAAGTTACTGTGACATATCAGTTATGGTGTACCATATTGACCATGATAGGTGCATCCTTGACAAAAACAGGTGTATATTAAAACCGTATTACAGGATCTTCATGTGGTATGGATAGGTTGACAATATCTGCAAAGAAGATCTATGAATGGTTATTTCGAAAGAACATGTAGCAAGGCATTAATATCCATGAGTACAGAGCCTTTAAAAATTTCTGGCTGATAGCAACATCTTTATCACAAATATCTGGCAGGACCTTGATATTACTGGAATTTTGCTAAAAGCGGCATAAAACCAAATCTCACTCACTATAAACATAGTAGTACCATTGTCACTTACTATTACCTGTTGCCCTTGTTTGTTGACTGCCGTGATATTGCTAGAATTTTTCTAAAAGTTGCCTAAAACCAAAACTCACCCACTCACCTTGTTTGTTGTCAATCTAGCTACCAGTGTCGAGTATTTTCACAGATGCAAGACCCAACTTTGCGGACATCGACACAAGTAACCCCAACTGTGTTGTCATGGGAGATGCAGCAGACCACTTCACCTATGAGAACATGAATAAAGCTTTCAAGCTGCTGATGTCCCTGGAGGAACCTGTCCTCATCTCCATGGGTAGGGGGTAGGTAACATGCTCGAACTAGATTATGGGTAGGGGTAGGTTAAGATTCTTATGCTTGAGCGTGTGAACGTGGTAGCCTGGTAGGTTAAGCAATGGTTGTTGTATTCATGCTTGAGCATGTGTAGGTGGTAGGTTAAGCAATGGTTGTCATATTCATACTTGACTGTGGGGTAGGGGGTAGGTTAAGAATAATAAATGCTACCACTATATCATAGGAAGGGGCTAGGTGAATCAGCTCACACCATATGATTTAGCTTGTTGACAAAACAAACTCTTGAAGAATTCTTAAGGTGTTTGAATATATTGTAGGCTTGTATGATCTCTGTTTATAGAAGTGTCTTTGAGGGTGGTAGCTCTGTCTTCATTCTCATTGTGGGGATTCTGTGGGAGGATAGATAACATTAGCCCATGCTTGTCCATGTGTGTCAGTGTGTGGAATCTTGGTCCTTCCCAAGCTTGTTTCCATTTGTGGATTCGGGGGCAGGATAGGTTCCCGAGAGCTTGTCTCCCTTTGTGTATTCTGCGTCAGAATAGGTCTCCCTAGGTGTTTCTGTGGAAGGATAGATAACATTAGCCCATGTGTGTCAGTGTGTGGAATCTCGGTCCTTCCCAAGCTTGTCTCCCTTTGTGGATTCTGGGGCAGGATAGGTTCCCGAGAGCTTGTCTCCCTTTGTGTATTCTGCGTCAGAATAGGTCTCCCTAGGTGTTTCTGTGGAAGGATAGATAACATTAGCCCATGTGTGTCAGTGTGTGTAATCTGTCCTTCCCAAGCTTGTCTCCCTTTGTGGATCCTGGGGCAGGATAGGTTCCCGAGAGCTTGTCTCCCTTTGTGGATTCTGCGTCAGAATAGGTCTCCCTAGGTGTTTCTGTGGAAGGATAGATAACATTAGCCCATGTGTGTCAGTGTGTGTAATCTGTCCTTCCCAAGCTTGTCTCCCTTTGTGGATCCTGGGGCAGGATAGGTTCCCGAGAGCTTGTCTCCCTTTGTGGATTCTGCGTCAGAATAGGTCTCCCTAGGTGTTCTACCTGTGTTGTTCTTGGGCAGAATTTGTCCTCTGCAAGTGTGTCTCAGTTACTTGTTGCCCTGATATAAAAATGGCTGGATATATATGACAATGAACTTGTGTTCTATTCTGTATCTTTCAACAAGGGTTATTAATGGAAATATATCTTGACTAAACAGTGTTGTGCATTGTACCAATTTTACTTTCAGGAAGTACTATAGGGAGGAGGATGAGAATGTCCTGGATGTTGGGGCCTACATGAAGGCATTAGAGGTATATATTTCACCAGTTCTCATAAATGATCTGCTTGTAGAGTTACTATCTAGCTGATGTAAAAGTGTTGGTCCACAAGTTAATGTCACTAGCCCATCCTTCATTTTACAAGTCTCAGACAGGGGATTTATGTTAATTTTTAACTCTGCCTGTATCGGTACAATGTGCGAAGCCCACTTTTTGGTGACCCCTACTGTAAGAATGGGGAAATATTGCTAAATGTCATGTGACACAGTGCACATGTGACAGTACTTAGGCCTACACTGAAAGCAGGAGCATGGCCACAAGTAACCCTAACAATAGCTGCAGTAACCATACCTCTGTGCCCCCCCCCCCCCCCTCCCTTATTTACGATTTTGATTTTGACTTGTCGCAACACAACTGTGAGTGAGTGAGTGAATGAGTTTGGTTTAATGTCATTTTGAACATTATTCTAGTTATATCACGACATGTCAATTAAATGTTGGGGCAAAACCCGAAGTGCTGCAGGTCTTAGACATTTACCACTTTGGTGAAACCCACGAGCACGTGTGGTGTTGGCAAACCGATAAGCATAATTGGAGCGATCCAGGATTCGAACCCACAATCATAGCTTTCTGTCGTACCCAAGGGACGCAACTGTGCACAGCCTCAGACGACTATGGGACCGCCTCCGTGGTCTAGTGGTAGAGCGTCCGCCCGGAGAGCGGAATTTTTAATTTCGATCCCCGGCCGCGTCATACCAGAAGACGTTAAAAGATGGTACTTGTTGTTACCCTGTCTGGCGCTCGGCATTAAAGGGCTAAAACAAGGACTGGTCGGCTCGGAGTCAGTATACTGTGTCTGAGTGGGGTATTCATGTTAAACTGCGGCATGGTATGTCAGTGAGCTAGCACTATAAATCGGCATCAGTCCGGACTAGTACAAGCAGCCACACACACACATACACGTGCATGCACGTCGCTATATAAGTGCAATAATCTTGGACGCGACGTTAAACCCAATTTCACCTCACCTCAGACGACTATGCCACCCCCCTGCTGTCCCGTAGTCAATTCCTAATAGATACTTTATTCGGAACACACCACACCAACTCTGCCATCGTGTACATGTATCGCAATCTCATATCGAAAATTACTAATATTGTTTGTTTGGCAATGAGAAATGATGTAAATGGGTCTCACATTGCTGCATACCAGTTGTGGAGGTTGGAGAAGTTTAATTCCTGGTTTGAGGGGGAGTCTGGTAGCCTAGTGGTTAAGCGTTGGCTCGTCACACAGAAAACTCGGGTTCGATTCCCGACATGGGTACAATGTGTGAAGCCCATTTCTGGTGTCCCCTGTCATGATATTGCTGGAATATTGCTAAAAGTGGCGTAAAATCAAACTCACTCACTCACTCACTCACTAATTCCTAGTTTGACAAGTGGCTATTTTACACTCTGTTTTCAGTATGCATGTGATATTGAGGCAGAAATTGTAGGCAAACCATCACCATCTTTCTTCAATGCAGCTTTGGAGGACATGGGCGTGACGTCTGACAAGGTGGGTGTGTCATTGCCATACATTGGCATGATTAGGAGATGTGACTGTGATTAGAATTACTAATATACTTCTTAAAGCAATACTTATTGCTTCTTTTAGTACGCCAATGTTGCAATATTAAGTTTCTTGTCATTTCAATCTCAATAAAATGAGATCTTAGCTCTCGCTACCGCTAAACAAAGATCTGAGGACATCCCATTATAGGTCACATCAGAACGACCTTTCACAAATTTGACCGACCCTATGAAATGACTGACAAGAAATCGACATTAGCCAATCAGAAGGCAGCTTTCTAGAGCTTTATGACACTAGTTTCAAACTGGCGACTACGCTTCGAAACATATTTTGACGTATTCTCGATTAAAAAAATTAAAACTGATAAGAAGAACATTCTGTCGTTCGGAATACCCCGTGTTAAATATTTCGTGGTTGCATGATTAGAAAACACATTCCGACTGTCACTTTCATGATCTGGTAAGCGACGCTCTGATTGTCTGGATGAAAGGTCATTCTGACTTGACCCTTAATGGGATGTCCTCAGATCTTTGTTTAGCAATAGCGAGAACAAAGATCTGATTTTAATGAGATTGCTTCTCATTTATGATACTGTATACAATCTAGCAAGCTAGTTAGTGTGGCCACAGATGGGTTTGTCTTGAATCGTGTCATGTCGGATTCACCCTGAAAAAGTTGTTTCTAAACAGATATATGAAAAACATTTTATAACTTTTGAAGATTCAATTTTATCTTCACTCACACTGAAAATATAGCGTGTCATGATATGTTTATTTACAGGTGGTAATGGTTGGTGATGATGTTGTCAATGATGTTGGGGGGTCACAGGCATGTGGGATGCGAGGGGTACTGGTCCGCACAGGTAAATACAGGTAGGTACCACCTATTGCTTCCCTGACTCTCTCATTGTTTCATGCTTCTGTTTTCAGTACTAAGCAAGGCATATTCACTTCTCAAATGCCAACTTGTGTTCTTTTGACTATTGTCTCCCATCCTGTAAGAATCTTCTCGATACAATGTTGTAACCCTGACAGTATAATGTGAGACGAAATCAAACATATTGTGAGAAGCCTGATGGTATAAATTAATGTGAGAACCATGTCAGTGTAATGTGGTAACCTTGACAGTATAATGTGAGAACCCAAACAGTGTATTGTGAGAACCAAATCAAATACAATGAGAGAATCATGTCATTATTATTAGAACCCTATCAGTAAAATGTGAGAATCCTGACAGTACAATGTGAGAACCATCAGTACAATGTGAGAATAATATCAATACAATGTGAGAATCATGTCATTATTATTAGAACCCTATCAGTTAAATGTGAGAATTCTGACAGTACAATGTGAGAACCCTGACAGTACAATGTGAGAACCCTGACAATACAATGTGAGAATCCCGACAGTACAATGTGAGAACCCTGACAGTACAATGTGAGAATCCTGACAGCTAGTACAATGTGAGAACCCTTTCACTATAATTGAAAACCCTGACAGTATGATGTGAGAACCAAATCAAATACAATGTGAAGACACTGTCTGTACAAAGTGAGAACCTTGTCAATACAATGTGAGAATCATGTCATTATTATTAGAACCCTATCAGTTAAATGTGAGAATCCTGACAGTACAATGTGAGAACCCTGACAATACAATGTGAGAATCCCGACAGTACAATGTGAGAACCCTGACAGTATAATGTGAGAATCCTGACAGCTAGTACAATGTGAGAACCCTTTCACTATAATTGAAAACCCTGACAGTATGATGTGAGAACCAAATCAAATACAATGTGAAGACACTGTCTGTACAAAGTGAGAACCTTGTCAATACAATGTGAGAACCTTTTCAGTATAATTGAGAACCCTGACAGTATAATGTAAGAACCAAATCAAATACAATGTGAAGACACTGTCTGTACAATGTGAAAACTTTGTTAGTACAATGTGAGAATGCTGTCAGTACAATGTGAGAACACTTTGTTAGTACAATGTGAGAATGATGTCAGTACAATGTTAGAACACTTTCAGGATGTGAGAACATGTTCAGTATAATGTGAGAGCACTTTCAGTATGTGAGAACACTTTCAGTATAATGTCAGAACCTTGTCACTACAATGTGGAAATACTGACAGTATAATGTTAGAACCTTGTGAGAACCTTGTCAGTATAACATGAAGACCCTGACATTATAATGTTAGAACCCTGTGAGAACCTTGTCAGTATAACAGGAAGACCCTGACATTATAATGTTAGAGCCCTGTGAGAACCTTGTCAGTATAACAGGAAGACCCTGACATTATAATGTTAGAACCCTGTGAGAACCTTGTCAGTATAACATGAAGACCCTGACATTATAATCTGAGAACCCTGTGAAAACCTTGTCAGTATAACATGAAGACCCTGACATTATAATGTGAGAACCCTGTGAGAACCTTGTCAGTATAACATGAAGACCCTGACATTATAATGTTAGAACCCTGTGAGAACCTTGTCAGTATAACATGAAGACCCTGACATTATAATGTTAGAACCCTGTGAGAACCTTGTCAGTATAACATGAAGACCCTATATTATATAGACATTATAAGACATGTCATGTCATGTTTCCTCTTTGTCTACAGTCAGTATGCTGTACTTGTCAGCTGATAATTCATGTCTTCACCTCTAACCTGCTTGGGGGGCACGGGTGGCCCAGTCGTCTCAGGCGCCGCGATTCGCTGTGCAGAGTTGAGTCCCTTGGGCACGCCAGAAACCTATGATTGTGGGTTCGAATCCCGGTTCGCCCTGATTATGTTTCTAGGTTTGTCAGCACCATACCCGTGCTCATGGGTTTCACCGAAGTGGTAAACGTCTGAGACCTGCATCACTTTGGGCTTCCCTCCCACATTGAGCTAACACGCCGCGATATAACTGGAATACTGTTAAAAGCGGCGTTAAACCCAACTCACTCACTCACTCACTCTTACCTACTTGTTTCAGACCGTCAGATGAGCATCACCCGACAGTGACACCCTCAGGTGTCGTGGACAACCTAGCTGAGGCAGTTGATTTAATACTTAACCACAGATAGTATATTTCTAGTCAGTACTTGTGGCAGCTGCTACAGAGTTGTGTCCCTTAGCTGTCCAAGAATTCAGTGATTGTGGGTTCAAACCCTAGACATGGCATGATTATTATTTTGGTTTATCAGCACAAGTTTGTTGGTTTCACCAAAGTGGTAAACGTCCAAGACCTGCATCACTTTGTGCTTCCTACCACATCAAGCTGACACACCATGATGTGACTGAAATACTGCTCAAAGTGGTGTGAACCCCATCTTCCCGTGGCAAGGGAGTTAACTGACTATGAAAGTCTAGTTTCCACCCTTGCCGAACAAGGCTTGAATTTCTAGGATCAATTGTAGCGCCACAAGTGGCAATTACAAGTTATGTCCCTTCCATGTCCCTCCCATTGACCATTCAGATTCAACCTCTCATATCACTTGCATTTGGTTCAAAGAAAATGGCGGCACCCAGTCAAGACGATCTGATTGTTCGTGTTACTTCGCGAAGTGCATCAAATCAAGTACGCACCTTCATTAGAAACATGAAAAGATTTGGGAAATATCTGTTGATGCCGAGTTGGCAACACATGTTTTGTACATCCTGCAGTTTAGTAACAGGGTGTCGATTTCGTTAAGCGATTTTGATTGGACTATGCATAGACATGTTAGATAGCCAAAACTAGTGATGGGTACCACGAAAAATACAGTACCATGGTATACCGCGGCATCTGCTCAAATACCACGGTACATACCATGGTATTTGAACACACAGAGAAAAGCCTTCATTTACGCCATTAACTGTCTATTTTGCGTTTTTTCAGGCCAAAATACTTCCATACCTAAGCTTTGGCCCTCGCGTTTTTCACGGCCATGAAGTCCGCCATTTTGTAACCAAGAAGAAATGCAGTTCACTCTCAAGACGGGATTTGCACGGGAAATTCAAATAAAACATAACTTTCTATGGAAATTTATTAAATCTGACGTCCTTTACTATATATTAGTTGTTTGTACCACACGTAAATAAAAAATATTACTTAAACTATGAAGAAACGTAATATTCATCATCGGAAATTTCCGTAGCTACACAGACTCCGGAATTTGCCGAAGTACCGGTATAGTGAGGAAGTTTACCGGTTCGTACCACAGCTAACAAAAACCATGGTATACCGGTATACCGGTAATACTGCGCACCTCTAGCCAAAACATGATTCCATAATTCCAACCGAGTTCGCAAGGGCGGAAACAGGACTTTTATAGTCAGTTACCTCCCTTGTCTCCGGGAGATGTGTTAAACCCAGTTCACTCACTTACTCTGTGAGCTGCTACAGCAGGGAACAAACACGGTGATCTTAGCGCTGAGATTGTTGTAAGCCCATGTTAAAGTTTGAGAGTTGTGTCTTAACGCTAAGATCACTTTGTGGAACGGGAACCTGGTGCCACCAAATGGTGGCGTTGGTTGCCCACTGCTGACACTGTGTACATTGTCCTAGTCCCATAACCAAAGAATGCAACTGTATATTTCAGATATGTGTATCAACTACTTCTATGTATAACCAGAGAGGGCACAGGTAGCCCAGTCATCTTTGGTGTTGCGGTTCGCTGTGCAGAATTGCATCCCTTTGGCACGCCAGAAAGCCTTTTATAGTGGGTTTGAATCCTGGTGTGCCCCAATTATGTTTCTAGGTTTGTCAGCACCATACCCCTGCTCGTGGGTTTCACCGAAGTGGTAAACGTCTGAGACCTGTGTCACTTCGGGCTTTCCTCCCACGTTAAGCTGACACCCACCCACCCACCCACCCACCCACTCACGCACTCACTCACTCACTCACTCACTCACGCACTCACTCACTATTACCAAGCATAGTCAAATGCATGAATGCTTGACGAATGCTCGTGTATAATAATCCGGATCAGACATTGTTTTACTATCAGATGTGAAATGCGAGCTAGTCTTCTTATTTTGTTTTCCATGAACAAATGTTGGTGGAATATTTGGTACATGAAGGTGTGAGACACATTAGATTGTTTAAAAACATATTATGGAAATTTCTCAGGTATTCCTTATATTCTACTCATCATGCTTATAACCATACCTGTTGTTATCTTCTTATACACCATCGTTACAATATAAAGTTTTTCTTGTAGTTTTGGATCTTTATTCAGTGCAGCAAGCCCAGATGTTCATACACATTAAATAACAACTTTATGTGTACAATAAAGCATGTCCGAGGGTTTTTTGATATTTAAAACCTGCATCCCTGGCATGAAAACGAGGGTTTTATGTATTTGAGAAAACATGCTTACGAGGTTTTGGTAGACAGAGCATGCCCTGGGGAGAGGGAAAACCAGGGCATGCCCTGTCTACCAAAACCAAGGGAAAGTGTTTTTCAAACTTATACACCGAGAAAAGAAACTTAAAACAACGTTTATCAACATTTTTATGTTTCAAATACACTTTCCATGAACCTTAGGAAATGGGCGTAAAATATCTGTTGCTGGCGTACGGTACTTGAAAAAGATATTCTTAAAAGCATTGTGATTTTATCAGGGCCTCTGTAACCTAGTGGTACCCTCTCTGGGCTACTGGTACGAAGGCTGCATGTTCGATCTTTGGGACTATAAAGAAAACATTTGATTTTACATTTCATAACATTGTGTTCAAATGCAAAATAAATTTCTAGCGCGAAAACATGTCTCTATCTAAACGGAAGTTTTATTAATAAAATCCTGGCAATATTGTAACGTATAGCAAGTGTCCCCGGGATATAAGATCTCGGGAACATAACATCATCTCTGTTTATGAGATTTAATCCAACTGAAGAACAATAGCATGACGTCACTGGGGTCTGTAATAGCTGTAACAAATACCATATGACACAAGATATATTCATGCGATATGGCACGTCTACTTCTGGATCTGAGTTATCTTGATTTGATATAACATGTACAATAGTTCTTGCTTACTTAAATTTATGTTTTGATGTCACTATATTAAACCTTTTTATGAGTTAGTACGGAATGTGAGTGAATGCGAGTATGAAGGAGTGTTTCTGTCAATGTCAAATTTAAAAAAGATATCTGAGTCCTTAATATCTATACCTGTAATATGAATCTTACTATTGGTACTAACATGCATAACAATATTCTTAGGAACTCATTTCATTATATCACCTGTGCAGAGCTACAGATATGCTGCATATTTGCGTAAAATAACCCCCCCCCCCCAAATTATTCAAAACCCAATTACTTTCAATTAACTTGTGCACAGAAACGCATGCATTAAATGAAAACCTATAACGTATAACGTATAAATACAGCACTCGTAAATACCCAATGAATCTTTTACGGCATGTGTACAACAGAGATAATTTCCAAAACACAATTATGAGTTGTTACTTTCCGTGTCAAGCCTATATTTAGAACCGTTGAATACATGTAAAACATTTTTGTTTGTTTTTTTGAAATCTCAAATTGTGAGAAAAAGTCAAAAGAGTGATGAATAGATGGGTGAAAAAATATAGGTTACCCAATGAAAAATGTAATAACTAATTAAAATAGAAACCTTCGAATAAAAACTCAATTGTTCAAAAGTTATCTGGAGCTCTGCCTGTGTTTTCTGAAATTGTCTGTATGTCATTTTTTACTTGACCCAGGCACTATCCTGGATGTCTAGCAGGCACTCAGAGATAAAATATCAGTCACAAGAAAAAAAGATAAGTTCATTTGGAAATGTACATTCCAATCCTTCAGAAACATTGTGTGCTAAAATCAAATATGTACATGGATGCATGTATGTGTGGAGTGGGGCGCTTATTAGGTTGAATACAGTATTTGGATTTGTTCTATACTTGTTGGCATATTTTAACAATTTTCGGATCTGGTACATTGGTCAATATTCGGACCTTTTATGAAGCCAGTCAGATATGATTTTAGCTCTATTGCCCAATGGTTGTGGTGCGCATCGTGTGTGTCTGTACATCTATACACGACCAGTGAAGATCCGGGGTACAATAGGTCTTCAGCAACCCTTGCTTGACGTAAAAGGCGACTATGCTTGTCGTAAGAGGCTCGCTGACTTGGTTGATGCATGTCATCGATCCAAATTGCTTTGATTGATGCTCATGATATTAATCACTGGATTGTCTGGCCCAGACTCGATTATTTACAGACCTCCGTCATATAGCTGGAATACTATTCAGTGTGGTGTTAAACAACGAACGAACGAATGTCTGTACACATCTTCTCGGAGTCAAAATTGACAAATGCATACCATGTAGTGGGCACTAAAGATATATTTTCTGTTTTTCGATGTATTTTGATACATAATTATTCATTTTGTAGTGGAAGCCACATTGAAATACCTATTTATGTCCATGGGTCTGCCATTTAAAAAAAAAATGTAATGAATTTTTGTACATGCATATGTATATAGGCTTAAGATACATACTTAGTTCTATTTTCAATATTTTTGATTTTGACCATTGTTTGACCATGTTCTTAAATACACTCAAAATACACATGACTCTGAAACTTCCACTCTGAAATTAGTTTATGGTCCAGGGTTTTTATGTAGAAAATATTTGAATATCAGTGCTGCAGCTACTTTTTTTAATGATGTTGATATAAAAAACTGTTGACAACATACCCAGGTGAGCTACATCACACTGGCACTATTTTTTATGGATTCCTCTACATTTATCTCAGTTCTTATGTATATTATGAGTGTTTATATTTACATGCTTTGTTATACATAATGACATGAAAGAGTCAGAAAAACTATAGATGTTTTCCTAAACAATGTTGCAATCATACATTTTTCTTTGATACTATAGATGTTGAATTGTAATATAATTGTAATGTCATAACTCAGGTGAACAAGTTTGATTTACTGAAAATATTCTGAGAGATAAATACATGAAGTGTGAAATAATCAGATATTGTGGTTTGTAATAAAAGGTTTGGGCTTTGTGTTTGTTGGTTGTTATTTTATCAGTTGAAAGAAGAATCTTGTAATCATATATAAATACCGTATTCATTGTAATAAGCTCTCAAAATTAGAAAGATTGGGCTCTTATTAGAACATAATTTTGGTGAAAAAAGCAGAGCTAAAAGATAAATGTCGTGGTTTATGCTGACAGCCTCAAATGTTTATATACGAGAGATATATTTTCAAAATTAGAAATATTGGGCTCTTATTAGAATATTATTTTGGTGAAAAAAAACAGAGTTAAAAGATAAATTTCGTGGTTTATGCTGACAGCCTGAAATGTTTATATACGAGAAATATATTTTTCCAAAATTTAATTGCCCAATTAAGGGTGCATATAACACACAAGTGCGTATTATACGCAAATAAATAAGTCTTGTGTACATTGATCAATCGGAAGGGGGGTTAATTGGGATTGTTTACTAGCCAATATCTTAGCAAATAGTGCCGTGGGCGCTTATTACGTCGAATACGGTAACAAGTGAAGAATAATGGAGTGATGAGTACTACTGATATGAAGTCAGAATGTTCATCCACGCTTGGTTTCCTGCAATTGTAAATAGGACCTTGTGTAGGCAAACTAGTTATTAATAGTGTGTGCGTCTATACTGAACAGGGGTCACGGGTGGCCCAGTCGTCTAAGGCGCCGCGATTCGCTGTGCAGAGTTGCGTCCCTTGGGCACGCCAGAAACCTATGATCGTGGGTTCGAATCCCGGTTCGCCCCGATTATGTTTCTAGGTTTGTCAGCACCATTCCCGTGCTCGTGGGTTTTACCGAAGTGGTAACCGTCTGAGACCTGCATCACTTCGAGGTTGTCTCCCACATTAAGCTGACACGCCGCGATATAACTGGAATACTGTGAAAAGCGGCGTTAAACCCAACTCACTCACTCACTATACTGAACAAAAAGAGTTAGGGATCATAAATATTTGGGGGGATAGTATTTTTTGGTAGTGAAGACTGATCACACAAATTCATAAAATATCCAAAAAAATATTTACGATCCCTAACTTTGTGTTCAGTATGTAACAATACAAACTGGGAGGATTCCAGATTAGAATCTGTTCCAAGGAACCTAAGCTTGTCTTACGATGCAACTTAATGAATGGGGTGGATCATTAAAGACTTCTTTGGACTCTCAATTGGGAAATTGGCTGGAACATAGCACTAAGTGCGCAAACTAAGCAAATGTCTTGTCCGAGGCATCTGTGCATCCAATTAGTTACAACAGTGTTAACCCGTGAAGATCCGGGTTAAAATAAGTCTTCAGCAAGCCATGCTTGTCGTAAGAAGCGACTTACGGGGTCGGGTGGTCAGGTTCGCCTACTTGGTTGATGCATGTCATTGTATCCCAATTGCATGGATCGATGCTCATGATATCAATCACTGGATTGTCTGGCCCAGACTTTTATTGACAGCTGGAATAATGCTGAGCGCGGCAATAAACAACAAACAACAGCGAAGAAGTACTCACCAAATCTACCCTCAGACATATCTCTTTATGACAACATACGATTTGGTAACAGTGCTTCAATGTACCAAATGAATGTCTTTATTACATGAAAAAATGAGCAAAACCTATAGTTGCCAGTCAGTAGTGAACTTCATCATCTATCTAGAACTATTACTTTAAAGATAGACTACTCAAAAGAAAATAAAGAGCTCCCGATTAACTTGAAATGACTACAGTTAAACTGTCATGGTTGATTGGCATTGAAACACAGCCTTCCAATTGTGGGTGTTCATTAACTTGTTTTGAATGGCATACACGTATTTGCACCTTCAACAGAATCCCACAAGTTAAGGAAAATTACTTTAACCATTTTTGTTTTCCCGTATGTGAAACTCTTGATGTTTAATTTAACTGATGTTTCCATTACCGTTGCCTATAAGTGAACCACAAAAGAAGTTTTCATTTATCACTACATGTTGAACATGCATGTTTCAGAAAATAAAATTGCCGTAAAAGGCAACTATGCAAGAGGCGACTAACAAGATTGGGTGGTCAGGCTCGCTGACTTGGTTGATGCATGTCATCGTATCCCAATTGTGTGGATCGATGCTCATGATGTCAATCACTGGGTTGTCTGGTTTAGACTGGATTATTTACAGACCACCATCATATAGCTGGAATATTGCTTGAATAAACAACAAACAAACAAGTAAATAAAATTTTACATTCAGTCATAACTCAACATGTGAAGTAAAACAGAGTTAGCCAACTGAAGCATCCAACTTGAGTAACTGAACATTGTCAAGAGCATACACAAGGCAATTGTGACCTTTCTGTCCACCTCTCAGCGCTTGTGTACCTAAATGGCAAATGTTTGACATGGGTTGGTTATACTCTAGGCGGATGTACCAGTAACGGTCTTCTCAATATCATTTATGTCAACAGATTTGTTATCATGCGATCGGTTACCAGAGTTGTGTTGATGGTTATTTCTCATAAAATGTAAATGCTCTTCTCTGTAATAGTTCCAAATTTCAATGGGATGATTGGAAGAAATATTTCCTTATCTAAAATTGTCTGTTACATTGTCTGATAATGCATGTTACATATGGTAACATATCTGTTTCACTGTCATGTTCTGCGGGTGCAGGCTAAAACGGCACCTCAGCAAAACATCACCGATTTCTCTGGCGAAAACGACACTGCATTTGGCTAAAACGGCAACGATGTGACGGGCGAAAACGGCACCTCTATTTTTAATAACGATAAGAACGATTTATGTGGTAGAATATCTGATTTATGTTATTTGTTACATATTATTTGATGTATTTACATGTTATTTCCTGTTTTCCAGTTGTTCACATATAACTACATACATTCACATATATACAGTTCTTCACAGTTTTCATTTTCATCACGGGGCACGGGTGGCCCAGTCCTCTAAGGCGCCGCGATTCGCTGTGCAGAGTTGCGTCCCTTGGGCACGCCAGAAACCTATGATTGTGGGTTCGAATCCCGGTTCGCCCCGATTATGTTTCTTGGTTTGTCAGCACCATACCCGTGCTCGTGGGTTTCACCGAAGTGGTAAACGTCTAAAACCTGCATCACTTGAGGCTTTCCTCCCACATTAAGCTAACACGCCGCGATATAACTGGAATACTGTTAAAAGTGGCGTTAAACCCGACTCAGTCACTCATCTTCATCACAGTTTACAATATCGGCCCATGTACCACCGAGCACTGTGATAGTAGCTGACTCGGGGGGCTAATTTCTAATGTAAACTTGTTTGAACTTTTCACAATTATTGGTGTTTGTAAGAGACAATGTGAGTTTAATTTCATTAATTTTACTTCAAAGCATATAACGTTTTCACAATACGTTAGTTGCGCCTCCCAATCAGAGTCGGCGAGTAAATTGGAATAGGGGGGCTAATTTCTAATGTACACTTATTTTAACGTTTCGCTATTATTGGTGTTTGTAAGAGACGCTCGACATAAAGGGGCTAAAACAAGGACTGGTCGGCTCGGAGTCAGTATACTGTGTCTGAGTGGGGAATTAATGTTAAACTATAGCATGGTATCTCTGTGTGCTCGCACTATAAATCGGCATCAGTCCGGACTAGTACAAGCAGACACACACACACATGTGCATGCAGGTCGCTATAGAGGTGTAATATTTGTAGACGCGACATTAAACCCCATTTCACCTCACCTTATTAAGAAAAAATGACAGGTGTATTAATTCAATGAATTTATTTCACTCCGATCGAAAAAAACAAGGGCCAAAATACAAACATCCACGTGATATGAACACCACATGCCAATTGGACCGCTTCCTGTTTCAATGAGATTGTTAATTGTTCATTCCTTCGTTCGTTCAATCATGTCATTCTGCCCAGGGGTTAAAACTTCAGCTGGCTTCTTGAATCAGTGATACTGATGTATACATGGAATTTATATATAACAGTGTTTATTGTATAAGAGGGTCTATATTACTAGCAGGAGAAATAATAAAAATACATATTTTTATATTTAATTTATTTCTTGGACCAGCTGCTTTTCCGCAGTGAAATAAAAACTAAAAACTGTGTTCAAATTCAAAATAGATATGTCCGCTGTATTTTCAAAATCTGACGATGTTTAAAACAATTACGGGGAGAAAAATATCTTTCTAATCAACAAAATGCTTTTATTTTACAAACGTTTTTGAGATATTTTTGTACATATTTTTGCCAAATTTGAGACCACACGTGAAACACTCATGAACAAACGTCCCTGTGTTAATAATTATGTTCACAATTGTTCAGTTTGATTTGAACAGAATCATTCTAATATAAGTTTTATTAAATTCATCATGAGCATGTAACATATCTGTTACACAGTACAAGGGTAGTAATCATTTATCATGCATGAATTATGTTTAAACACAACATCTGTATGATGAAGCCACTTAATATCTAAACCTGTGATATTTGCCATATTCAGCTAGCCAATAGAGCTTGGAAGAAATTTCAGTTTTCATTTTCCGGCTGTATAATGAGCACATTTAGTAGTGGATAATGAACACTTAAGATTGTAAGACCATCAAGTTATTGTAAGACAATAACGATTTTCTTATTTTCAAAAGAGAAGTATAAGATTAAAAATGTTTGCTTTTCTTTCATTCTTGAAAAGAAGAGTAAGTTTAGAAGATCTTTACCATATGCTACATGATATATGATGTCCATGTTCAGGCCTAGATGTATTAAACACTTCCGTAATAGACCTGTGAAGATCCGGTTTAGACTAGGTCTTCAGCAACCCATGTTTGCCGTAAAAGGCGTCTATGCTTGTCGTAAGGGGCGACTAACAGGATCGGGTGGTCAGGCTCGCAGACTTGGTTGATGCATGTCATCGATCACAATTGGTTTGATCGATGCTCATGATATTAATCACTAGATTGTCTGGTCCAGACTCGATTATTTACAGACCGCCGTCATATAGCTGGAATATTGCGTTAAACAACAAACAAACAACAATACGTAGGTAATTGAGACATTGTTTTTATATAGGCCTAATTAGACCTAATTGGGGTAATATTTTATTGCTAGACTGATCCAGATCATAACACAAGCAAGCGAATTTATGTTTTCATGACGTGATCCATACCTGTTTGGATTTGCAAATTAGGCCCAGTCCGACCCTGTACTCCGCATGCTCAGAAGCATGTTAGCAATGCATGTGTATTTATTATTATTTAAAATTAAAAAAAATAAATGTTTATGTTCAAAGAAAAGAAGTCATGAGTGGGAACTTGAAACAGGTAAATAGCAGTAAAGCCCGCCTTGAAGTTGTATGTAACTTAGGTTGTGGAAAGTCATTTCTGAAATGAGTTGTTTAAGATTTCAAAATGGTCCAAATCGATTTTATAAAGGTCACAAAACTCAGGTTACATATCAAAAATAAAATACATGAAGTCTAAAATAATTTAAAAAACACCCTAGTAAGTAATGTGTAATCAGTAGTTTGGTGATTTATAAATGTTGTTCTTGTTCGCGATGCAGAAAAACCCTTGAAAGGCCCCTCAACAGGTGCCCGTCGTATCTGAAGGGGGGTAACTCTTGTGTAAATCTCGAAACGCTGGCACGGAAATTTTGTTAGAAAACAAAAATATTGTTCTAAAGATTACATCGATGGAAACCTAATGTTGGTTAAAATAAATACCAAATAGATTTATCATCTAATACACCGATAAATATATGTTTGCTTTGATCCACAATATGTTTTTATAACGAGATTCTTGTCCTTATTTCGTTTCGGTTTGAAGTTTAAATTTGGTGAATCACTGCCCAGTAACGCGTAAACATGGCTGACAATTTTTCAGCGACATTGATTTGAGAGAAGAACACGGGGCTACCAATCATCGTACCCTTACACATCGCGCAACGAGCAGGTAAGGAGATATTTGTACCTTTTGTTTTTATAGATCACCTGTAGATAGCCATCAATTCACTCCACAATTTGTTTTATTTTCAAATTGAATGCTCCAAGACAAGCATTGACAAGAATATTTGACTGCGCTAAAAAGGAAGTTTTGAAATTCATTTAAAACATTCTACATTCTTACTACTCGTAGCCAGTGCGCTCACTTTGTAAAGTAAACCGTGGGTTCATATTTCTTAGGATTTTCTTAGTTTTATTCAATACATGGCCGTGATGGAGTGTTAGTATGTTTTAAGCCCACAAATTAAAATGATTCGCTAACATGGCTAATGTATCAAATGAGATCTTACTCTTCTTGCTCATTGGTTAGAGATGCTGTTTACAGATGCGGGTAAGCCATAAACTCCACGTTGACTGGTTCTTCCTCCCAATAAGCACAAAATTTTGATTGAAATTAATTATCTACTTTGATGTTAATTCGACTATAGTCAAATAATGTAAGAGGGTTTTAAAAAAATGGAAACTTCAACCAGGTAAGCTACAACCATGACAATAAGTTGCTTTTAACATGTTTATTGATCATGTTGGTCATCCCGTAATTAAAAACTGTGCAAGATTTAGAAAGGAAAATGTCATTCACATAAACATGATTAACATATCGGATCTGATAACTGTAATAACCGCAAATGTCTCTGGTCAGCCACAAGTTAGGGATAGGTAAGTTTTTGGTAGAATAACTATGAGATCACAATAACAGCATCAGCCCATGTTTCTGCCTACAGTGGACATGGTGGAACAAACACCTACACTGCTAGCGACTTGTTATCCGTGAGGACCAATTATCGCTAACTCCCCATCATGGTGTGTCTGTGATCGTATCTCGTTTTACTTTTGCTCGGTTTCATAAGCAAGGAATATTTATCCAAATATGATGAACAAAACTGACATACTATATAATCACCTCCCTCAAATACATCTTTAGAAACTTCATGCGGACGGTGTCACATGACTGTTTCTTGCATAAACAAAAATCCAACAACACGATGATGCACATTCAGTTCTGTTTTTGCTTACTATCTCTCTGTCATTTCTTCCCCCAAATACAATTCTAAAATGGTTTAAACACATTTGGGCTATTTTAAAGAAATGCACAACCCTGTCGTCGTGTTGTTACAGAAATCTTCTGAAACCTTTTCCTCAGACAGAAATATGCTCATTTGCTCATAGTTTCTCAAACATTAAAGTTAATGATACAGTTAAGATTATACACTGAATTTTTCAGAAATAACATGAAAAATGGTGATAACTGTTCAGTGACCAGTATATTTTTGTTTACTTTTCATATGTACTTATGATCATTCAGTGTGTAAGAATGTGTTGGATCAAAATTAAGGCTTGATTTAATTAGTTTATAGATTCTACTGACACTAAACAAATTAACATGCCTAAAACAAAGAAGAGTTGAAAAAAAACTGAAAAGCATTATTTTTTTTAATTTGCTGAATGCAAACTTACGTGATCCCCACAACAAATCATGAAATATACAGAAAATAGGAAGGTAACAAGGAGACAAGCTTTACTATAAAATACTGTACGCTGAGATAAGTTGTCTTTTTTAATATCTTGTTTTCACCCAATAAAATCTCTGTACACCCCAAAATAAAGAGCCTTTCACAAATGACAAGTCTTTATAATTATTATGGTGTGTTGTATGTTTATGTAGTTTAGACACCTTAATCTTTATATTCATATTTGTTTGTCTGCACTGTAACCATGGTAACCAGACAAACTCATCATTCATCCCGACCCAGATAATGTATGAATAACCATGCAAATAATTTTATGACTTTTCTTTCTCACAGTGTAAAGTTTAAGGATGGATTACCACCAAGATTACGACGAAGTCGATGCACCTCTACGACAGAGAAAGCCTAAAGCAAAGACTTCATTTCAGAGGGAACTGGATGCTACAATCAAACAAAGAAGAAACTTGGGCCTGGCAGCTGATGTCACAACCAGTGAAGGGAGTGGTGAAGAAGATGGTATGTTTACAGTAATACTATTAGGCTAAAAAAAATAATCGTCTTGGTTCTCAGGCACCACCCGCACCATCATAAAGTCTGTGGCACGTTTTGTTTTAATTTCCATTTTGAATTTAAAAAAAAAAAAATCCAAATACTGAAACACAATGCACATTTTTTTTAAAAAATATAAACAAAAACGAAACGTGCAATGAACTTTATGATGATGTTGGCAGTGCCTGAGAACCAAGACTATCACTTTTTTTAGCCTTAGTGCTAGACATTGCAAGAGTAAGGAAAAGAATGGATGAACAGCTTCTTTATTACAATTAAGTGCGATGTTTCGGTGTAGGTTCTAACACCATTATCAAGCAAGAAGAATCATGTTTATCTTTGTAATCATGTTTATCTGTTTACTAGGAGCAAGATAATGTCTTCTTTTATTATCCTTTATCATGTATATTTTTGTTACCATGGTTACGTTGTGTCCAGAATTTCAAACTGAATATTGCAAAAATTCATATATTTTATCTGATTTAAGGATCATTCTTCATTATCATGACAGCAGTAACAACATTATTTTCAATTTTTGTTGTAATAACTTCCTTTGGGACTAGGTTAGGATTGGTTTCCAGCACTTTGTTGCTTGTTGTAAAAGGCTACTAATTTGGGTAGGTGGTCTGATTTCCTGACCTGGTTGATTGCATATCGTCGTACTCCGACAGTGTGTGGTGTTACTCATGATATCAACCACTAGTTTGTCTGACACTGACACAGATATTTGCTGGCTGCCGTGATACAGCTGGAATATTGCTGTCTGCAACGGAAGACAATAAACTAACATTGTATATATTCTAATCTAACGAAGATACTCACACCATGCATTTTCATGACAGAGCTAATAAGACAATACACACAAAACCATTCAACAACGTCTCCTTCACGGCAACGTCCTGGCTCTGCCAAAAAAAGGCCGCAGAGGCAACTGGATACCATGCCAAACTTGGATGAAACCTTGCGACCCAGAGATGCTGGTAACATTTTGGGACGGGGTGGTCGAGACGATCACCGGGGCGTTCGAGATGATCACCTTGATCAAGAAGTAGCTAGTTATGCCAACAGGAACCTGCCGAACGTAGGTCGGAAAACGCCGTCCCCACGGTCGGACTCGCTGCTTGGTAGGAAAACTCCCACTGGTAAGAAGACACCAACAAATGAAGGCCTGACGAAGGAAGACATCATCTTTGGTCGGAAGACGCCCACACAAGGAGGGTAAGATTTGGGTCTTTTATCAATATCGTTTTTCAATGGTATTTTACATTTCAAGATAATCTGACAATCCTTTTAAAAAAAATAATAGTCTTGGTTCTCAGGCACCGCCCGCATCACCATAAAGTCTGCTGCATGTTTCGTTTTTATTTCAATATTTAAAAAAAATATTAAATCCTAATACTTAAAAACAATGTGATCCAATATAGCACACAGTTACTTCCCTTTACTGCACATCTCGTGTTATGGTCATGGCGGGAAATAGGAGTTTGTATGCTTGTTTATGTTGTTGTTCCCAGGTTGGTGGTACACAACTATCAATTTGGTTACATACTAGTTTGAACAAGCAAAAAAAAAAAACCACCGCCGACCTGCACTATATTTTCAAAAGCCATTGCCTGAGAACCAATTCTTTTATTTTTGTAAGCCTAATGGCTTATGCACAGGTGTCTGCCATATGCATTGTCCGAGAAGATGTCACATGTCATTTGACAGAGACACATATTGACTCAAAATCAGGTGTGGTACCGGGGTAATTTATGATATTGATTTGAGTTACTGTTGAGTTGTCAGTTGGGGTGGGTAACTATTACAAGAGGGGGCATAGGTGTCCAAGAGGTTTAAGCCGCAATTTGCTGTTTAGAATAAGGTCCTTGGTGCCAGTATCCACTGGCAATGGATCCAGATCCAGAAATCAGAGGACTATGATGACTGGATTACAGGCTTTAGGATCTGCATCCCTTTGGGCATAGTGAGCCTGCTTCACAAGTTGTCATGCTGTGACAGAACTGAATTACTTTTCAAAGACATTGAAACTCGTGAAGATACGGGTTAGAGTTGGTCTTCAGCAACCCATGCTTGTTGTAGGGGACTAACGTGACTGGATGGTCAGAGTTGCTGCCTTGGTTGATGCATGTCACAGAGATGCCAACCATTACGCTTTTGAGCTGAAAGTTATGCTGTTATGCTTATCCTCCCCAAATACCAATTTTGGCATTTTTTTCACAAATTGTTTACATGTATATATCATGGAGAGCAAATTGTCAATGCACCGATAATGTGAAGCATTCTACAGGGAGCTGATTGCATGTACACTGATATTTCTTCGATTTGAAGCACCACATTGTCTTTCTGCAATGCAGTTAAAATTGTCACATGATAAATTTTATGAATATATGGAGCTTTGATCGCCATGATCACATGTTTCGGCATGAATACAGTGTGTCTGATGCCATTGTTTGTTGCCTCGCTAAAATAACAGGGGTTCCGGGGGTCTTACCCCACACAATAGCTTGACTTAAATGCTTTCATAAGTGATTTATAATCTATAATTACCAAGGTTATTCAAACTACGTGTTTATTTGAAATGTGGAACCGATGTATTTCGCTTGTTGTCGCATGCCGTTATGGAACTTCTATTTTTTTTAATGTTTGGATTGGTATTCAGTTTCGAGGTTTAGTCATATTTAACCATACAAATGCAAGCGGAGTCATTTTTTCTGCTTATTTTGAGAGTTATCGCCCTGTTTTTAAAATAGTGCGGCTTGCGTGTGTGGCTACATTACCATGATTACTAGCCTCAGTGCATGTGTACCCATGCTTCACGTATGTATTGGCCTAACGAAAATGTTGAAGCGAAAACCAGCATCATGGCATGATACTCTTAAAAATTACTCTTTTTGACATGAAATTATCCTTTTTTAGCCCACTGATTTCTCCAAAGCTTCAATTAGGGTTGGTATCTCTGATGTCATTGTATCCCAATTATGTAGATCAATGCTCATGTTTAGATTTCCTGTCGGTTTCTTTATTGTCATTCTTTTTCACAATAGGCTGCCCGACAGTCTCAGCAAGAAGCCATGGACTCCTCCAACATATCAGAAGCCGGCTGAGATGGAGTCGGGAAACAGAACTCCTTCTCCAGGTAACCATGGTAACATGATCTAATCTGGCCAACAGGTAGTGTAGGGATCATCAAATACATGTTTGGCATGTGTAGTGTCGGGCGATGTCGTATTAACCTTTTTGATGATGCACTGTGGAGAAGAAAAATGTTTCTCCGCAAAGCTAACTTCTGTTTAACTATGTTTTCAAATTATTCGCCTACAAAAAAGAAGGCAATAATCAGCTTGCTTTGCATTGTAAAATTTGTGATTTCAATTTTTTTCACGATATCTGTTGTTGAGTTGGATGCCATATGAAGTGAAATGTGCATTCGGCACCACCCATGTTTTGGATCATGAGTGTGAATTCTAACTCAGGAGGCAATATTCAGCCGGATTAACTGGCATTGTGTGGTGGTGATCATTGAGGACACCTGAATGTCCCAGGTTAAAATAGGCTCTACTTATCCCATTGCTGGCTACTGAATCAGTCCCAGTGAATTAGCTGAAGGCGTGTCATCAGGGTCAGTGCCCAATTATTGTGGATTGTTACTCATGTTGTCAGTCACTGGTTTGTCTGTTACCATGGTTACAGACAAGAGGTACTATTGCTAGAATATTGCTAAATTGAGCATTTGCCTATTTCTCAGTCATTTGTGATGGAGGACAAATTAGGAAGCATACAGGATCAGTTGGCCTAATGCTTTGTAAAGAAAATAGTTCATTTAGCATTATATCAGTTTTAGATCAGTGATATAAATTCAGACAGTATAAACATTTCAGAAACCCTCTTTTCACAGCTGGCTCCCGAGGCCGAAACACTCCTTCCTCACTGCTTGATCCCATATCGGAGAGCACAACCCCCCGAGGGGGTCCTAGGTCCTCGGCCACCACGCCCAGGGGCGATGGCAGGTCCAAACCTCGTCTCACTCGGCAACCCAGCACTGGCAGTGATAAATCTCCCAGGTGAGTGTTGCCCCTGGTATGAAAACAAGTACTTAAACTCGTAACTTGTATGGAGAATTTCACTTTTCCTAAGATAAGTACATGTATATTCATATTCCAAATAGATTAGGCTAACAGTTAAATAGAGAAATGTTTGTCAATGTGGTCTGTTGTTTTGTTTGTAGTGTATTAACACACAAATGCACACTTTAATAATATAAGGCATAAGGAAAAATCACTAGCCGTGGCAACATCTCATCAGAGAACCATTACCATTCAGTAGTGTTTAACTTTTAATATGTTTACCACGTAAGGATGAAAATTCCTGTTAGAACAATCTTCACATTTTAACAGTGTTGTAATGTTGAACACACACAATAAATTACAATGATACTCAAAATCATTTCTTTTGTAGTTGTGTCAGTCAGCTATTTGATGAGCTTGTACACCATTTATGAGACATGTATTGTGTGTTCCAGGCAGCTGTCCATTGAGACATCTCCCCGGTCTGACCGACCTACTGTACTGCCGCGTGGGAGAGGACATGAGGGCGAAGGTCTGAGAGGAAGGACTACTCCAACCATGGACCTTTTTGGTAAAACTCGACAAGATGCTCAACTTGATGAAGTTGAAAAACCGGAAAAGCAGCCACGATTTAGGCGAAGCAGCGGAGATGGTCGTAAGACTCCGCCAGGGAGATCTGGGATCAGTGGTAGGAAAACCCCAGAGAGAACTTTATCAGGGAGGAAAACACCGGAGAGCCTGGCCAAAATTGATGGTAGAAAGACTCCAACAGGTGGAAAGAAATTCACAGGGCGCAAGACTCCCACAGAGGAGCGAGAAGTGGAGGAGAAGAAGCCAGAGAAGAAGCCAGAGAAGTCCCTCCTCGACTTCCTGACAGAGGACACAACACCTAAACCTGAGCCGAGGCAGAGGAGGAAGAGCAAGCCGGGGCTCTCGAAGGAGGGCTCTGGAGACTCCATCAGCAACGAGATAATGCAAGACTTTCGCCGCTCTCCTCCGCCGATGCGCTCAACGAATCAGTTCCGAGGGAGGCGAGATCAGAGCCCTGACAAGAGCTCGGTGTGTGAAGAGTTGGAGCGAGAACCAGGGTCAAGGTCAAGGTTAGGGTCAGCAGGAGAGGAAGAAGGCAGCAGGACAAGGAAGTAAGATAATATGAACAGGTTTAACTGTAGTTCTTAAATGAGAGAGTGAGTTGTTTTGTGTGTCATCGATGTTGAAGCATTGTCACATTGTGTGTGTGTGTGTGTGTATAAGTGAGTGTGTGTGTGTCTGTTTGGTGTGTGCATGTCTGTGTGCATTGTGTGTGTGTCTTTGTTTGTGTGTGTGTGTCTTGTGTGTGTGTCTGTGTGTGTTGTCTATGTGTGTCTGTTTCTGTGTGTGTCTGTGTGAGTCTTGTCTCTGTGTGTATGTCTTGTCTCTGTGTGTGCGCGCGTGTGTGTGTCTGTGAGTGTGTGTGTCTTGTCTGTGAGTGTGTGTGTCTTGTCTGTGTGTGCGTGCGAGCACGCTTGTACATAGTTTACATGGACAACCCACTCCGACACAGTATCCTTACTCCCCTATCCCCGTCTGTATCCCTTAATACCATGTAATTGTGCAGGGCTTAAATCAGTAGGCTACCACACCATGCACACTGCCCCTCCGGACAGAAGAAGGCAGGAATCTGAGTATTCCGTATAGTATACATGTATTATTTACTTGGCCTGCTAAGACATTATGGTAAAACTCACATTCCTGTAATCTTCTTTCTTGTTCGGGAGGGGCGGTCGGGTAGCCAAGTGGTTAAAGCGTTTGCTCGTCACGCCGAAGACCCGGCTTCGATTCCTGACATGGGTACAATGTGTGAAGCCCATTTCTGGTGTCCCCTGCCGTGATATTGCTGGAATATTGCTAAAAGCGGTGTAAAACCAAACTCATTCACTCTTGTTCGGGAGGGCCAGTGTAGTAACCTACTTGTTTAAACTTTTGCTCTGCGCACTAAAGTCTTGTGTATAATCCCAACATGGGCACAGAGGGTGAGGCCCATTCGTGGTGACCGTTGATACACCACATATGTTTGTTTGTTTGTTTTGTTTGTTTGTTTGTTGTTTAACACTGCAACTGGCAAAATTCCAGCTATATGATGGAGGTCTGCCATTAATCGAGTCTGGATCAGACAATCCAGGCATTGACATCATCAGCATTGAGCTACGCAATTGGGATACGATGACATGCATCAACCAAGTCAGTGAGCCTAACCAACTGCTCTCATTTGTCGCCTTTTATGACAGACATGGGTTGCAGAAAACCTGTTCTAAGCCAGATCTTCTACACCATGTACACTTCTGGAATGACTTGTTTGTGTGTTTGTGATACTGACTCCTTGTGCTTTAGGTCCGGCAATCAAACATCCGCACATCAGGCTCTGGACAGTGCTATCACCAAGGTGGCAGGTGCCCAGGATAAGAGTATGGCATTCATAGATCCAGAGTCACAGAGGAAGAATAGGTGAGTCTTTGCTCTTTGTATCATAACATACAAGCTCTTTGTTTGAATAATGTTTTAGCTTAATTTATGGCCAGGGAGTTTTACTTTGGAAAATGTCGTGGCAATCAATATATCTTGCCTTGACATCCAGCACCATTTTGAGGGCGTGCAGAAAGTAGCCCGGGGCCCCGTTCCTCAAAGCAATCTTAGCGCTAAGGTGATCGTAAGTCCCATACTTTAACACAGGCTTACGATCATCGTAGCGCCAAGATCGCTTTGAGGAACGGGGGCCCTGAATTGTAAAGATGTCTTGAAAATAGGGGGTTTATTATTGTGCATCCTACTCAGTCTAACATTACTTCATCTGAAAATGGTTAGGTTCCATGGTACTGCATCTTCGAAAGGCAAGTGTGTCCACTAGCCTATATCAAAGCCTAATTTCTACCCTTCACACATCAAGGCCACTTTTCTTGGCTCGACCCTGGCGCCACCTTGCGTAGATCACGAGTTGTGCCCCTTGTAATGAAAACGCAATATCCAATCAGACTGCTGTTCTTAACTTGTATAGCTTCACGAAGATAGTGACTACCATAGGCGACCTAGTCGATCAGATAAAGAAAACATTCACAATTTCATCCCTGACACAAAAACATAGGCAAGACAGGCAGCAGTAAAATCACTTTCATATGAATGTGCACAGTCGTGGATGTTGATTTTGTAAAACGTTCTCTGAATGGACTACCCATATGTGTGATAGTCCAATCACATTTAGCATAGGAAAGTTGGCTTGATGTCGCAAGGGTGGAAACAAGAGTTTGATAATAAGGCTAGTGGACGCTCTTGCCTCGGGAAGATGGTGGTACTATGGTTTGTTTATGCCTTTGCCTTAATCTTTGCCTTAAAGTGTGAAGAAGACTGAAGGAAAAGAACGAAAACAAAAGCCCAAGCCGCGGTACGCCACCATGCCAGGGGAGACAACTCCAACCAGTGAAATCAACTTTGAGGATACAGCCAGTATCAGGAAGGGGATCTATGACCAGTGGTACCAGCAGCGGATGGAAACGGCAAAGAAGGCCTTGGTGGAGAAGAAGAAGCAAGAGAAGGAAGAGGAAGAGAAGAAGAAAAAGGTGGGCCATAACAATACATGTCGTTGTCAATGATATCTAAAACTCTCAAATGACGTTTGACGTTTTTTCTTAGTTTGCCGTTGTGTGCCTTCAGTAAAAGCTCTAGTTTTCAAAAGGACATTATGATATATTATAAGTTGTAGCATGATCACGAGGGGTATATGGAGTGTTTATGTGTCGCATGTTAGGTTATACACCACGAGCCGGAGTGATCCTGCTACAAAAAATTTATCTTACTGACATGTTTTAATGTGACATTGTAAAAGAATTAACACAAATTCAAAATTGATAGAAAACAGCTGGATGTCATGCACTGTTGTATGGTGTTTAACCTGGTTGTCATGCACTGTTGTATGGTGTTTAACCTGGTTGTCATGCACTGTTGTGTCAGGTTTTAACCTGGATGTGATGCACTGTTGTATCAGGTTTTAACCTGGATGTCATGCACTGTTGTATGGTGTTTAACCTGGTTGTCATGCACTGTTGTGTCAGGTTTTAACCTGGATGTCATGCACTGTTGTGTCGGGTTTTAACCTGGATGTCATGTACTGTTGTATCGGGTTTTAACCTGGATGTAATGTACTGTTGTATCAGGTTTTAACCTGGTTGTCATGCACTGTTGTGTCAGGTTTTAACCTGGATGTCATGTACTGTTGTATCGGGTTTTAACCTGGATGTCATGCACTGTTGTGTCAGGTTTTAACCTGGTTGTCATGTACTGTTGTATCGGGTTTTAACCTGGATGTCATGCACTGTTGTATCAGGTTTTAACCTGGATGTCATGTACTGTTGTATGGTAGTTAACCTGGTTGTCATGCACTGTTGTGTCAGGTTTTAACCTGGAAGTCATGCACTGTTGTGTCGGGTTTTAACCTGGATGTCATGTACTGTTGTATCGGGTTTTAACCTGGATGTAATGTACTGTTGTATGGTGTTTAACCTGGTTGTCATGCACTGTTGTGTCAGGTTTTAACCTGGTTGTCATGCACTGTTGTGGCAGGTTTTAACCTGGATGTCATGCACTGTTGTGGCAGGTTTTAACCTGGATGTCATGTACTGTTGTATCGGGTTTTAACCTGGATGTCATGCACTGTTGTATCAGGTTTTAACCTGGTTGTCATGCACTGTTGTGTCAGGTTTTAACCTGGATGTCATGTACTGTTGTATCGGGTTTTAACCTGGATGTCATGTACTGTTGTATCGGGTTTTAACCTGGATGTCATGCACTGTTGTGTCAGGTTTTAACCTGGTTATCATGTACTGTTGTATGGTATTTAACCTGGTTGTCATGCACTGTTGTGTCAGGTTTTAACCTGGATGTCATGTACTGTTGTATCGGGTTTTAACCTGGATGTCATGTACTGTTGTGTCAGGTTTTAACCTGGATGTCATGCACTGTTGTGTCAGGTTTTAACCTGGATGTCATGCACTGTTGTATGGTGTTTAACCTGGATGTCATGTACTGTTGTATCGGGTTTTAACCTGGATGTCATGAACTGTTGTATCAGGTTTTAACCTGGATGTCATGCACTGTTGTATCGGGTTTTAACCTGGATGTCATGTACTGTTGTGTCAGGTTTTAACCTGGATGTCATGCACTGTTGTATGGTGTTTTAACCTGGATGTCATGCACTGTTGTATGTTGTTTAACCTGGATGTCATGTTTGTCAGGCCAAGGAGGAGAAGGACACTGAGGCCAAGCTGTCTTATCAGGCCTGGGTCGACCAGAAGAAAGGCACCTACTTTAAAGACAAACAGAAGCAGAAGAGACAAGAAGAGATGAAAAAAGAGAAAGATCGACAAGAACAGGAAACCAAAAGGGCAGATGCTAAAAAAGTAAGACGATGGTGGATGGTGTGTGTGTGAAAAGAAATAGTTCTACCAATTTGCATTCTTTATGTTGAAGGGGCGGTCAGTAGCCTAGTGGTTAAAGCGTTCGTTCGTAACGCCGAAGACCCGGGTTCGATTCCCGACATGGGTACAATGTGTGAAGCCCATTTCTGGTGTTCCCCGCCGTGATATTGCTGGAATATTGCTAAAAGCGGCGTAAAACCATACTCACTCACTCACTCACTCTTTATGTTGAAAAGTTTTGCAGTCAGGATTGTAGAGCATTTGCAGGTTCATGTCCCCAGTTATATTACACCAACAATGCTTGAAATTATATGGGGTCCTGGAATCCATGATGTTTGCTCTTACTCAACATTTCCTAAGGACTACACCTTTGACGAAAGATGACTATTTTGGGCCTTAGCAAATGTTGAGTAATATGATTTAATTGTGGGACCTCCTAAATCCTTGTACATTTGGGGAATGACATAGATATTCATACTTAATTTCGAACACTGCAGCAATCAAAGGTTCAAATTTTATGGTTAAGAGACCTACCGAAGCAGGTCTGAGTAGTGAATGAATCACCACTGGGTTTGAACTAGAGCAAGGCTAACAGTGTCGGATGTATTTTCAGTTGTTTGAAACATGGAAAGTGCAGAAAGACAATACACTTGTGCAGAAGGCGAGGAAACAGAGGAATTTAGAAGAGGAGAAGAAGCAGATTGAAGAGGAGGAGAAGGATATGAAGAGACAGACCTCACAGACGGCATTCAGGGGATGGTAAAGAAATAATATCTTCACCAAATGTTTGATGGGCTAGGTCTCAAGATCCATTGATATTACCCTGGTGTCTTTTCAAGAGTCAGGGGCGGTCGGGTAGTCTAGTGGTTAAAGCGTTCGCTCGTCACGCCGAAGACCCGGGTTCGATTCCCGACATGGATACAATGTGTGAAGCCCATTTCTGGTGTCGCCTGGCGTGATATTGCTGGAATATTGCTAAAAGCGGCGTAAATTCATACTCACTCACTCACTCACTCACTCACTCACTCACTCACTCACTCACTCAATCACTCAATCACTCAATCACTCACTCACTCAATCACTCACTGTTTCAAGAGTCTTTGCACTCAATATCAATATATAAATATATGAACTTATTTGTAAGTTTTTTCATTATGATGTTGATTTGCAGGAAAGCCAAGAAAGATGTCGTCTTGACAAAGCAAGCCAGAGAGGAGAAAGTAAAGAAGAGGAATCAGGCTAAAGATGAGGAATATGATAAGATAACGCGAGATGAAGAGGCCATGGATCGTTATCAAGAGTGGCTCAGGGAAAAGGTCAGACATTGTCGTCAGTTAGTAGCTATAGTGAGTGAGCGAGACCCGTGAAGATTCCGGGGTAGAATAGGTCTTCAGCAACCCATGCTTGCCGTAAAAGGCAACTATGCTTGTCGTAAAAGGCGACTAACGGGATCCGGTGGTCAGGCTCGATGCTTGGTTGATGCATATCATCAATCCCAATTGCGTGGATCGATGCTCATGATATTAATCACTGGATTGTCTGGTCCAGACTCGATTATTTACAGACCGCCTATATATTGAGGTATTGATTAGAAGCATTCCGGGTAGATTGAAGTGATGAGATTTTGTTTTTCAAACAATAGACCATAGAGCTATTCATAGAACTATCTCCATTGGGACCACTGCCTCCGTGGTCTAGTGGTAGAGCATTCGTCCAGAGAGCGGAAGGTCCGGGGTTCGATCCCCGACCGCATCAAACCAAAAGACGTTAAAAGATGGTACTTGTTGTTACCCTGTCTGGCGCTCGGCATTAAAGGGCTAAAACAAGGACTGGTCGGCTTGGAGTCAGTATACTGTGTCTGAGTGGGGTATTCATGTTAAACTGCGGCATGGTATCTCAGTGGGCTTGCACTATAAATCGGCATCAGTCCGGACTAGTACAAGCAGCCACACATACACGTACATGCACGTCGCTATATAAGTGCAATAATCTTGGACACGGCGTTAAACCCCATTTCACCTCACCTATCTCCATTGGGGACACGAAAAACATCCAACACTCAGGCTTCCTGTCATACTATGTCCAGGATGTCATCAGCCAAACTATCACAGAGTAAACGCTTTTGAAACGAATGCTGATATGAAGCTCACTCACTGTTGGATGTCTTTATTCGCCAGGAAAAGAGAGACAAACAGAATCGACAGCAGGTCACCTTGAGGTCAGAGGAGGACTACAAGCCAGCATGGAGCCCAGCAAACAGGACCATCCCCTTCGGACGCTGACCCCCGGCCGTTCGGTCGTGTAGGAGGGCATTTGGAGGGGAACACTCAGTGCACATGCCCTCTATAACATAGAGGCACACTCATTGCAGTGTCAGAAATCAAGCATGGGGCTCTTGTCATTGCATAGCTGCCAACTGTCCCACATTTTCGTATTTGTTAGGAAGTTGGATCTAAAATATAATTTCTTCCTTTGTTTATACAAACAATATGACAATCTTTGGAAAGAAAATTACAAGGACTAAATTTTCATTTATATCAGTAAAGAGAGGGTAGTTATATGTTACACTGCTACGAACACCTCTTCTTTGTCGACTGGTATGAAGTCTATTTATAATGTTGCATCTGTCCAATTGAGACATACTATCAGAAGTTGCTGTCGTCGAAATAGAAACAAAGTAATAATATCATCAACTGATTTTCGGAATCACATGGACATGGCACTATTGTAGATGGTTCATATCTTTGGTGTCTCGACAAGAAGATCGCAACTAAATACTGATGGTATTTTGGGGAAGTTGGCAGCTGTGCACTAATGTTAAAGGTTAAGGATACTTGGGTACACAGAATCAAATACTATCGATGCAAACCTCAGAGCCCTCCAGATCCCCCTCAACTTTCGAGGGGCATGGGGGGCCCAGTCGTCTAAGGCGCCACGATTTGCTGTGCAGAGTTGCGTCCCTTGGGCACGCCAGAAACCTATGATTGTGGGTTTGAATCCCGGTTCGCCCCGATTATGTTTCCAGGTTTGTCAGCACCATACCCGTGCTCGTGGGTTTCACCAAGACCTGCATCGCTTCAGGCTTTCCTCCCACATTAAGCTGACACGCCGCGATGTAACTGGAATAATGTTAAAAGTGGTGTTAAACCCAACTCACTCACTCAACTTTCGACCACTGCATGCTCTCGTTTGTAGTTTGAACGTGATTGCCCCTAAGTGTTGTTATGGAACTGTTCGTATGGGTATTAGCCTCAGGATTGGAAGTCAATATTTATTCCCTCCGACATAATGTTTTAAGGTTAACAAAATCAAGAATAAGGATGAAGATTTCAGAAAAGGGTTTATATGATTGGTCAGTGTTCCGTCCATGTTATTTGGGCAATCATGACAGTTTTGTTAAGCCTATGTATAGTGATGTGGAGAAAATAACTTTGACATTCAGTCATGTCATGTCATGTGAAATCTCTTTTAACATATTGTATATATACACAACAAAGAAGATATTATATTTCGCTGTAAACAGCTGATGCAGCATTTAATATCACTCTCTCTCATGACATACAATCCGTCCCACACATTGAACATCAATATTCACCTATGTTATCAGCAATATGTCTCTACATAGACTTGTTTTTATTGTTCAAGGATGAGACATGTGGCTGATTAGATGATGTACAGCATATATTGTGTAGAGAAGTATTTATTGTCTGTTATTTCATCCCTATGTCTTATGTAGTAACAATCATCCTTTCCCCAACTGTCATGTTATATGGCAATGTTTCATGTTCATATAGGGGCGGTCGGGTAGCCTAGTGGTTAAAGCGTTCGCTCGTCACGCCGAAGATCCAGGTTCGATTCCCGACATGGATACAATGTGTGAAGCCCATTTCTGGTGTCCCCCGCCGTGATATTGCTGGAATATTGCTGAAAGCGGCGTAAAATCAAACTCACTCACTCACTCACTCATGTTCATATTTATTTCATTTATTAAGTGCTTAACTAACCTGATGGCAAATGTTTTATACTTTTATCATGTTTAATTCATTATGAGGTGGATGCACCTCTCCTGTATTTCTAACTGTTAAGTAAGATTGTGTCCATGATGGCTGACACTTACTGTTATATATGCTGTATTTGTTACCATGATTGTTTCTGCAGGAACTCTTTGCCGTTTGGCTTGTTTATCATGGCAGTGGTTTTGCTGCCCTTTTATGCTACTTATATTACTTATAATTTTGTAGGGGCGGTCGGGTAGCCTAGTGGTTAAAGCGTTCGCTAGTCACACCGAAGACCCGGGTTCGATTCCCGACATGGGTACAATGTGTGAAGCCCATTTCTGGTGTCTTCAACTGTGATATTGCTGGAATATTGCTAAAAGAGGCGTAAAACCATACTCACTCACTCACTATAATTTTGTATCTGGTAAAATCCTGTATTAATTCATACTGTTCACTTGTTATGTTGATGTGGATAAGTGTTTTTTATTTCTGCATTTTAGCATGTGACTCATGGTCTTAGAGTTTGTTGGTACAAGAATAATTAGAAGTGAAACTAGTCAAACATAGGTTTGATCCAGACTTGTAATGTCATATAGGAATTGTTGTTGTGTTATGGGGATCGGTTGGTCAGAATGGCTGCTGGGGAGGACTTGTACTTGGAGGGTGACCCTCTGGTGAGACTCCCCTCAGCTTTAACATGGGTACCCTACAGAGGGTTTCATGACTGGTGTTCATGTGTCCTCTGTAACCGTGGTAACCTCGTACCCCATTAGAGGGAGTCTAATCTGTAACCATGGTAACTGACTGTCCTCGTACCCCAACAGTGTGTTTCATGGCTCCTCTAAACCATGGTAACTGACTGTATTCGTACCCCAATAGGGTGGATTATGAGTCCTCTATGACCATGGTAACTGACTGTCCTCGTACCCCAACGCGGTGGATCATGGCTCCTCTGTAACCGTGGTAACCTCGTATCCCATTAGAGGGAGTCTAATCTGTAACTATGGTAACTGACTGTCCTCGTACCCCAACAGTGTGTTTCATGGCTCCTCTAAACCATGGTAACTGACTGTATTCGTACCCCAATAGGGTGGATTATGAGTCCTCTATGACCATGGTAACTTAAACTGACTGTCCTCATACCCCAACGCGATGGATCATGGCTCCTCTGTAACCATGGTAACTGACTCTCCACGTTCCCCAACAGAATGGATCATGGCTCCTGCAACCTGCTTTGATAGTTTTACTTAATCTTGTCTTCGTTATTAACTTGTGTGAGTAAAATCAAGTCTCATTCTGTGCACTTTTATATGAATTAATTTATTTTATGCTGGACACTTTACGCTACTCATAATTTTAGTCATTTCTTCAGTTTAATGTTACCTGTATTTGGTGTGTTTAAACAGTGTGTCTCGATAGAATAATGCTGCTTGAATGATGGTACTGTTTCGATTGGCTGTGATATGAACATTATCATTTAGTTGTTGTTGTCCTTGATTACTTACATGCCACTTTTTTCTTTGTGACCTCAGTTTGTGTAGTAACCATATACAATAATCACACCATTCTTTGTTATTCTGGTGAGAAATGGTGCCACCATTTAGGATGATTAATTACTCAACTAGCATGCAATCTGTTCGCCTGTGGGGAGTGACATGATCACATTGTCCCAGCTGATCAGCCACACCTGTAATCAGTGCACCTGTAGGGAGGGACATGATCATGCTGTCCCAGCTGATCAGCCACACCTGTAATCAGTACACCTGTAGCGGGGGACATGATCACGCTGTCCCAGCTGATCAGCTACACCTGTAATCAGCCACACCTGTAGGGAGGGACATGATCACGCTGTCCCAGCTGATCAGCCACACCTGTAATCAGTACACCTGTAGCGGGGGACATGATCACGCTGTCCCAGCTGATCAGCTACACCTGTAATCAGCCACACCTGTAGGGAGGGACATGATCACGCTGTCCCAGCTGATCAGCTACACCTGTAATCAGCCACACCTGTAGGGAGGGACATGATCACGCTGTCCCAGCTGATCAGCCACACCTGTAATCAGTACACCTGTAGCGGGGGACATGATCACGCTGTCCCAGCTGATCAGCTACACCTGTAATCAGCCACACCTGTAGGGAGGGACATGATCACACTGTCCCAGCTGATCAGCCACACCTGTAATCAGCCACACCTGTAGGGAGGGACATGATCACATTGTCCAAGCTGATAAGCCACACCTGTAATCAGTACACCTGTAGGGAGGGACATGATCATGGTGTCCCAGCTGATCAGCCACACCTGTAATCAGTACACCTGTAGCGAGGGACATGATCACATTGTCCCAGCTGATCAGCCACACCTGTAATCAGTACACCTGTAGCGAGGGACATGATCACATTGTCCCAACTGATCAGCCACACCTGTAATCAGTACACCTGTAGGGAGGGACATGATCACATTGTCCCAGCTGATCAGCCACACCTGTAATCAGTACACCTGTAGTGAGGGATATGATCACATTGTCCCAGCTGATCAGCCACACCTGTAATCAGTACACCTGTAGGGAGGGACTTGATCACATTGTCCCAGCTAATCAGCCACACCTGTAATCAGTACACCTGTAGGGAGGGACATGATCACATTGTCCCAGCTGATGAGCCACACCTGTAATCAGTACACCTGTAGGGAGGGACATGATCACATTGTCCCAGCTGATCAACCACACCTGTAATCAGTACACCTGTAGTGAGGGATATGATCACATTGTCCCAGCTGATCAGCCACACCTGTAATCAGTACACCTGTAGGGAGGGACATGATCACGTCCCAGCTGATCAGCCACACCTGTAAGGAGGGACACGATCACATTGTCCCAGCTGATGAGCCACACCTGTAATCAGTACACCTGTAGCGAGGGACATGATCAGATTGTCCCAGCTGATCAGCCACACCTGTAATCAGCCACACCTGTAGGGAGGGACATGATCACGCTGTCCCAGCTGATCAGCCACACGAGGTACTCCAGGACTATTTATTGCACACATCTTCAGCTGCAGAAAGCACAGTGATTACATGGTATTGTGCAAGATGACTACATCCTTGAGGACATCCTTGAGGACATCCTTGAGGACCTTGAGATGATATTTACTGTAGATGAACTCCGTCCTGTGATGGTGAATCTCAGGTCCTATATGTACATATGTGAGGTGAAAAGATGGGGAGGCCCTCTTTCCACATGGATTCATATGATAATTTACTTTTTATTTATGTAAAGACAGTTTAACTTGCACAGCAAGAAGTTGACTGGTGCAGTGTTGAAATAGAAACTGTAGAACATCCATGTCCATTTTGTTAGCATTGGGATAAAAAATGTATTACTATTTCAATTGTCTACCATATTTATACCCTTTTAAAACTCTTACTTTCTACCAGATTAACACGTTTTGGCAGCGTAGGCTGGTGGACATGTGTTGTTGGATTGTGAAAATAGATGTAATGACGTGTCAGCTTGTAAAATAAATGGCATCACTTGTTATATAAGTCTGTCTTATTGTTTATGAGTCCTAATGGGCAGGGGCAGTGGAGTGGCCCCGTGGTTAAAGTGTTCGCTTGTCACGCTGAAAACCTGGGTTGATTCCCCACATGGGTACAATGTGTGAAGCCCATTTTCCGGTGTCCCCGTCGTGATATTGCTGGAATATTGTTAAAAGTGACGTAAAACCATACCCACTCACCTAATGGGGAACTGAAAGTCAAGTGATCGGGTAGCCTAGTGGTTAAAGCGTTCGCTCGTCACGCCCGGGTTCGATTCCCGACATGGGTACAATGTGTGAAGCCCATTTCTGGTGTCCCCCGCCGTGATATTGCTGGAATATTGCTAAAAGCGGCGTAAAACCAAACTCACTCACTCACTCAAAGGGACCGTAAAGAGAATTGTTCGGTCTTGGACTAGATTTAACTAGGTAGACAACACTCATTTAAACTACATCATGACTGTTAACCGATCTACATAACCAGTTCATCACAGACAGGCGAGGTACACACTCCAGCATCTGAAGATAATTGTGATCTCACAATCCAGCGTTCAAGAAATGGCATGCAAAACCGCTACAAAACAGATGGCAAATCCATTTATTATTCAGGTAGATCAGGCTGTTCATCAATCTGTTCTGGATTATAAGTAACGTCTCTCAGCCTATGCAAATAAATCTATTTAAATACTCATGTACGTCCCTATGAGAGAGACCCGTGAAGATCCGTGGTAGAATGGGTCTTCAGCAACCCATGCTTGTTAAAGGCAACTATGCTTGTCATAAGAGGCGACTAACGGGATCGGGTGGTCAGGCTCGCTGACTTGGTTGATGAATGTCATCGATCCCAATTGGTTTGGTCGATGCTCATGATATCAATCACTGGATTGTCTGGTCCAGACATGATTATTTACAGACCGCCGTCATATAGCTGGAATATTGCTGAGTGCGGCGTTAAACAACAAAACAACCAACCAACCCTATGAGAGACGCCCTTATGGTGTCTCATCAGAAATCTACCACATACCTGACAATGGATATGAGCCTGCATTTGGGTTACAATAGGTCCTCTGCAACCTATGCTGGTCGTAAGAGGGGACGAAATGGAATGGATGGTCATCCTCGGTAAATTTGATTGCCTGCCACTGTATCCTCACAGCGTGGATTGTTGCTTACAATATCAATCACTGGAGTGTACGATTCTGACGATATCATAAGCATGTGTTTATGGATCACTATCATTTAGTAATGATGCCAGGTGTTCGCGAAAAAAGTAAGTATTCTGCGCAACTATTTGGATCCACCACAAACACATGCAAAGGCATGTGACCTCTTCACCTGCCAAAAACACGACAACATTCGGTACAAGTCAAAATAGGGAATTGCATTGGACATAATTTTGGTCACTGATGCATCAAATCTGCAAATACCCTCCACATGTCTACCACAAAGCGTTCAGGTATTGGATGTTGTAAGTGACTTGTAACCCTGATTAAACACCTTTTGACCAAGTGTGGAATGACCCTTTGAGACTTTCGTAGGAACAGCATGCTCGATTGTTCCTGATAAGTTGTGAAATGTAGACACCAAACACAGGAGATGCATGGACATTGCTCGACATAAAGGGAAAGTTGGCTTTTTGAAAATTGAAGACATCCCTCTTGTCGTACAGATTTGTGGATACTTGATTGTCCCTCTTTATGCATAGATATAAATATAAACAGATGAGTCAGTTTCACTGGTCTCTCTTATTTAGGTCTCTTTGTTTAGGTGGGTATCTCAGTGAAGGGGAACTGGCTATTTGACCATTATGACGAAGGGTGATCCATAAGTGGAGCAACTAGGCTAATATGAAGTGTAAGCAAAATCAATGTTACAAGGGCGTGAATTGGCCGGGTTTGGGGGGCCCACAGACTTTAAAAAAAATTAAATCCTCTGAAGCGCTATTTCCTGCATTTGGGGACCGTTTATGTTAGATTTTATTGGCAATTATTAGTAATTTATTTATTTCTTATTATCGTGTCAAGATTCCGATTTTCAAGCTGCACAATAAATATCATGTTCAACCGTGTAGAGTTTGAATTAATAATTTACTGCATAGATGGTAAATTGAGGTACACTTATTAGATAATTATGCTTTTTTAGGTGTAAGCATTTGCTTTTCTGCTACAAGGTAGTTTCCCCCTGTCGATGTGCCCGAAGTTGGTTAAACTTCATAGCAATATTTCCGTGTTTTGATTTTGCTGTTATGTGCAGAAATTCTTATTGATATACCAAAGGAAACAGATCGGATCATGAGCATAAGGTGGAGGCTGAAGGAGTTCAAAGCCACACTTGTGGATTGTTGCCATGGCAATGACTGATTTGAGCACTGTCTTGATTGAAGAGCACACCGTTTTTCATCTCCCCACGTCTCGCAGCCTTAATTTCATCCCGTAGTTGCCTCACGACTGCAGCATGTTATGCTACGTTTCTTGTCTGGCCTTTTGGAAGAGACCGACTCCGTGGTCAAGTGGTAGAGCGTCCGCCCGGAGAAGCGGAAGGTCCGGGGTTCGATTCCCGGCCGCGTCATACCAAAAGACGTTAAAATATAGTACTTGTTGTTACCCTGTCTGGTCGGTTCGGAGTCAGTATACTGTGTCTGAGTGGGGTATTCATGTTAAACTGCGGCATGGTATCTCAGTGGGCTAGCACCATAAAATCGGCATTAGTCCGGACTAGCACACACACACACACACACCGCGACGCGACGTTAAACCCCGTTTCACCCATTAAACCTCACCTCACCTTTTGGAAGATCTCCACCTTGATGAAAAACACCCTCAGCATCCCAGAACACAGGGCCAAAACATTTCCTGCTGATTGTACAGTTTTTGTCCTCTTTGATTGTGATAGTTCCAAATGCTTTCACTACGTTGATTGTTGGCTGGAAGTTGTGAACCAAGGTTTTATCCATAATCGCAGATCGTTGCCTTTCTGGATCCGCTTCAAACAGAGCTAGATTATCATAACACACGTTATGCCTGGTGCGTTTTTGATCAGATGTCAGAAGCTTTGGGACCCAGCGAGCTGATACTTCACGCCCCAGCGTCGTGGGTCGTTGCTCATAAAATCAATCACTGGATTATCTTGTCCGGACACAATTGGTTACAAGCCATCGTCGTACAGCTGGAATATTGCTGATTGTGGCATTACACAATAAACAGTTACTAACATGTGACGGTACATTTCTCAATTGCGTAGATCCATACGCATGATGCCAATCACTGCATAGTCAGGTCCAGACTCGATTATTTACAGACCGCCGTCATATACATGTAGCTGGAATATTGCCGAGTGTGGCGTTAAGCCAAGAAACATGCAAATAGACAGACAAACAAAGCACAGTGTTGTACGTAGCATTTGTTGCGGACAATTGTTGTCTTCTATAGTGTGAGTTATGTATATCATGTGCAGTTCGCTTATTTTTGTCAAATTAACCGGATAAATTGCGAGAACTGTGTGAACCGAGCGTCAAGATCGGAGTTGGCAGAGTTGAATATTTAAAAAAACCTTACAAATTCCTGATACGCTGGAATTCTGGATAATCTTTGTGTATCAGCCTGTGGAATATTTTATTGGCGCTTCGTTTAATCTTCAGTCACAATCATGTCAACATTTCTTTTGGAACAATACGAGTTATTTCCCTTTGACCGAATGGCGCCGTTCCAATAGCTCACCACGTTTGGCGCCCAGGCTATGTAATCGTGGAATCATTTCGTCTGAGCTACAAAATCAACATATTATACCCAATAGTGTGATTATATGTACATATTTGATAGTACTTAATGCACCAAGAGCTAATCTGTCTTTATTGGCTTGATAGGACAAAGTCAGACATACACGAATTGAAGTCGACCTGCTCCAGACATCCCCCTAATACAATATAGATTCACAGCAGCCCCGGTGTTGATCTGACGTTTTTTTCTATCGCACGACGTCTAGAAGTGTTCGACACTGGCTGTTCTGTCTTTGGACTTCTCAAAGCTTTAAAGGGCAAGTTCACACGAAAAAAACCCTATTTTACTTGTACTTTTTCAAGTATGTACCTAGTAGTTTCGGAGGCAAAACAATTAGGTGATGTGGGTCTTCTCTTGTTTACACTAGATTTTCATCGTTTCCATACCGCGAAGCTTGCTCGTTTGGTTCAAAATCGTATGGTTTTGCGATTTCTTGAAGGGTCAAGGGAACTTCTTCGGACCAGGCAAGGTATCGGATGCCTTGTTGTCTCACCATAAACTGGTACTTGATATCTTTTGCGTTGTGACAAGACAAGGACCCAGTTAAATTGGCACCAATTACGTCATAATCTAAGGGGAATAACTCAGGCCTGTTTAGCTCGGAAAACGAAGGCCTCATAACAGTATGACATTTTCACACTTATTGTGAGCTCGCTACATTGACTGTGAGAAAAATGAGTGTATATTTTCAAACACTGATACTAACTAATTCTAAAATTGCGTTTTGTTTAAAATAAAAAAGAAAGTGATTTTTGCGTGTTCACTTCCCCTTTAAGTGGTTTGTCTCTTCTGGTACTTATCAAGATGGTACACAACGGTTTGTCTGTCCTAAAGAACATTCGACGTCATATAACGGTTTGTCTGTCCTAGGACCTACTATTATCGACCCGTGAAGATCCGGGGTAGAATAGGTCCTCAGCAACCCATGCTTGTCGTAACGGGATCGGGTGGTCAGGCTCGCAGACTAGGTTGATGCATGTCATCGAAGTGTGCGGCGTTAAACAAACAAACAAACACACCGACTCATCAAGGCGTGTGTCTGTTCCCCGACATGTCAAAGTTTTTTTAAAGAATAGTATGCCATTTCTAATGAGTGCCAATGTTTTATTCATTCGTTAATTCTCCCTAGGACTTCCCGAAGTGCCATACACAATCGCGAGTTTTCATATTCCAATCAAGACTGTTAAAGGTTGAACTATTGGTATTCATGGTGTATGACTCACACTCCCCT